GAATGGAACATAAACGGCCGTATCTTTCGATTGCGTCGATTTAGACGCTTCATTTTTTCACTGCTTCAAAAGATCGCAGACCTGAGTACATGATATTAATTTCAACTTGATACCTCCACGCGTTCCTAAGAAAAAGGATCTTGACAGACGGACGGAGAGACAGCGAAGCGATCCTATAAGGATTCCGTTTTTTCCTTTACAGGTACGAAACTCGAGAAATATGGAAGTGACAAAAAAAAACTTAAAACATTAAAAACCTTTATAAAGGTCAAAAATGTATTTAATTAAAAAAAAAAAGATACGAAAGTAGGAGACGCCATCTTATTTTCGTTACTTTTTTTTTTAATTTTTTCTGCCGCCATTTTCATGTAAACAAAGTAATTGCAAAACGCATGCATTTTATTGCCCAACGTAAACTAGGATCGTTCCATCATAAGCCAGACAATATTTATAACTGACACATCACACAACCAAAAATATAACGTAAGCTGATCTTTAAGATGTATCTCTCGGATGCTTTTGCCGCGAGTTGTGATAAAAATCTATGTTGCTTTGATGTGTTCTGTGGTTAATGTTTTAAATTATCGCCGTCTTTTATTAGCTGTATGATCTAGTCACCTTTGCCTGTCTTTACGGCGAATAAAAAAAAAAACAATTACAACTTCAGACAAGGCTGTATGTGTTGCCAATTGGAAACGAATAGTGTGGGACAAGCTGTTGGGAGAAAAGGGGTGTCATTGAATTGTATGTGATGTTACACTAGCTGGCATTATATAAAATTAAATAACATATTTATATATATAATACTATTACTACCATAGTTTTGATTGACTTTGGTCAAAACAGAATTTCGTCGATTCAACATGGTGATCGAAAAAGGCGGGAAACGTTAAACTTAGCGATGTTCTGAAGAATGAAACTAAAAATACTTGACGTTGGCAGAAATGGTCGTAAAAATAAAGACCGATTGTTATTAAAGAAAAGAAAGTCTGTATGGGCTTTCTTGCATTTGCCTTTTCTTTAAAAGGATTAAAACAAAAAAAAAAAACATTCAAATAAATCATCAGGCGCGCGTCACTTCGAACAAAGAAACATTTGTGTGAAATCTATGCAACCATTTCATTAAATCGGAAAATCGTACACTGTAAAGTAACTAGCTGTTTGAATTACATTAATACGCATTAAATACAAGATTAATACCGGCATTGGATATTTAAAATCTTGTGTATGATTAAAATGAATGTAATTATAAGTTAAATAAGGAAAAAAGATAGATACATAATTTATTTACATCACTTACAGCACACAAATAACATTAAATATTGGTACATATTAAAAAAAAAGAAAAGAATACATTTTTTTTATACAACTTAGAATGGCAAACGAGCTCACGGCCCACTTGATGGAAAGTGGTAACCGTCGCCTATACACATGAGCAGTACCATGCACATAACAGAGTATACTGTTTCGCCCATTATACCCCCCATGCGTTGCCATTCCTAAGGACTCGGGTGTTATTCCTCTGTACCCAGTAAATTCACGCCATATCCCACCCTTCAAATCGAAACACAGCCATGCAAACACAACTGCTTTACGGTTGAAACACGAATGGAACAGAGGTGCCCAAGCAATCGACTTGTACAAAGTCTCCCTCTGGTAGAAACATATAAAATAAAAACTAAAAGAAAAAAATAACAAAAGAGGTAACAATTTTTCATGCGTGTGCCACAGTAACACAAAATGGTCGCAACTCAGTTTATTGTTTTGCCCTCAAAAGAGCAAAACACTGATATTATGTTGTGGCCAAAAGAGTTTGTATGTTAGTTATATTTGCCTTATCTACTATCTAATATATAAAATTCTCGTGTCACGGTGTTTGTTACCAAACTCCTCCGAAACGGCTTTACCGATTTCTATGAAATTTTGTATGCATATTGGGTAGGTCTGAGAATCGGCCAACATCTATTTTTCATATCCCTCAATGATAAGGGTGACCTACCCCTAAAATTATTTTTTTGACAATTTTTTTTATTTTTATATTATTATGATTTAGCATTGAAAAATACATACAAATTAAAATTTTCACGCTTTTACAATCAACCCCTGTTTTTTAATCGCGATTTTTATATGCCGCAATAGGCTTGCAAGATGGCAATCGAATATAATAATTGTAGTACGATAAATTTTCATGTATAGGTCTCGAAATAACGTATATGGTAAAACGTTTGCCGAGTCAGTATATATATATATATATATATATATATACATATATATATATATATATATATATATATATATATATATATATATTATGTTGATAAAATTAATGAGTCTATATTTATATTTTTGTCCTTGAAATGTTAATTATTTTTAAATATATTAATTAAGTGATTAATTAATATACACAACGTTTATTATCAAGATTTTATGTTATTTTATTTATATTTGCGTTCAATATTTGTTACTGGCATACAAGTAAACTTTTATACAACTTAGAATGGCAAACAAGCTGACGGCCCACCTGATGGAAAGTGGTAACCGTCGCCTATAGACATGTGCAGTACCGTGGACATAACAGAGTATTCCCCCTCATTAGTGCCCCGTCAGTGTATACTGTAAACGAAGGTTTTTTTTTTTTTCTTTTAATAAAAAATAATGGAATGGCGACCTCGCCTGCTTTATCAGTATATGGTACGCTGGCGGAGCACCAGTGAGGGATGATAGGTGAGGATGAAAAGGCAGGTCAGGTAGCCCATCGTGATGGATACACCAGGACTTTAGTACGTAGTTTCCATGGAGGATTACGTGGAGGTCGACCTAACAGGGTGTATTGCTAGCAATGAGACTGATAGTCCTCAATACTAACAATTCTTTCTCCCCGCGTAGGAAAGGTCCATTTTCACTCATTAAAAACCCCATAACGCCGAAGGCTTGGTCTTTTTTTTATACAACTTAGAACGGCAAACAAGCTGACGGCCCACCTGATGGAAAGTGGTAACCGTCGCCTATAGACATGAACAGTACCACGGACATAACAGAGTATACTGTTTCGCCCATGATAACCTCATACGTTGCTATTCCTGAGGACTCAAGTGTTATTCCTCTGTACCATGTAAATTCACGCCATATCCCACCCTTCAAACCGAAACACAGCCATGCAAACACAACTGCTTCACGGTTGAAACACGAATGGGACAGAGGTACCCATGATGCACGGTTGAAACACGAATCTTATATATTGTACACAATTATATCACAGATACGTATATATAACGTAGTTAAACACTTGATAATTATCTGTTCAAACAAACTTATCTTCGTATATGTAAACCGTGGTTATGTACTTCTATATTATCAACGCTGGCCGATATCGCGTTCGAAGGTACTGTAGCTAGGTTTTTTTTTTAATAACATGTTTTACGGCTCTGGAAACTTGTCCTTATAGGTCAAGTTGCCATATTTTTAAATGCATTCAGTCTTTTTACAACAAATTACAGAAATAAACATCGCTTCACATTACAACTTTTCCATTGTTTTTACAACAAATTTATACAAAGGTCTGAAATATTTGGAATCCTAATAACAATAATGTAATACTAATAACAATTACGATATGAATAGATACACACCAATACTTAAATAATGAATAATAATAATAAGAAAGTACGTACTTATCGTGATACACTATTTCGAAAGTGAAAAAAGTGTTGTTCTCCTCTCTCGTACTTGCTGTGCCCAACAGGGTCCATAATTGAAACGTTATGTACTAATTATATTATGGAATGCAATAAGAAATAAATAAATAAATAAGTATTTGCAAATCAATCAAAAGTTCTTTTAAATCCTGAGGCACTTTTTTTGCTTATAACTTCAAATTCGGTTGCCATAATTAATCTGTCAATTCCAAACGGTTGACATTTTAGAATCAGATGGTCCGTTTTAACACTAGTGTTGCCAGATTGAGAAGTTTTACTTTTACAGTTATTTTATTTATTTATTAAACTTTAATACACTTAAATAGTTTTAATGACTCTACCGGTCCAATGTAGGCAGGAATAAAAGAAAACAATTAATAATTGTATAATACTACATTACTGCAGCGGCCAGCAACTGAGGCATTAATGGACGAACGTGCAAATGTGGGCTGAGGCGAAGCCGAGGCACACGTACGTGAGTCCATCAATGCCTAGTTGTGACCAAGGCTTGTACAGTATTATAGGGGAAACCTATGTCCAGCAATGGACAGTTAAAAGCTGGTATGGTATATATTTATTATATGAGATAGTGAAAGACACAGGCTACTTTTTTCCAGTCAGTGAATAGTAATATGTATAATGCAGTTAATATTAGTACGTACACCAAAGGGAGACTTTGTACAAAAGTCGTTTGTTCGTTTCCATTCGTGTTTCAACCGTAAAGCAATTGTGTTTGCATGGCTATGTTTCGGTTTGAAGGGTGGGATATGGCGTGAATTTACTGGGTACAGAGGAATAACACCTGAGTCCTCAGTATTGGCAAAGCATGGGGAGTATCATGGGCGAAACAGTATATTCTGTTATGTCCATGGTACTGCTCATGTCTATAGGCGACGGTTACCATTTTTCATCAGGTGGGCCGTCAGCTTGATTGCCATTCTGAGTTGTATAAAAAATAAACCTAGACTGCCATATGGATTGGTCCCGAGTCACCTGCATTCACCGACCTGTAATTATAATATTTATCGTCATCATCATACCAGCCTTTAACTGTCCACTGCTGAACATAAGCTTCCCCTTTGGGGGGGTTTTGGTAGTAATTGCCACGTTTAGCAGGCGGATTGGCAACCACAGTTAAGCTTTGGAGATGTTTTAAGAGGGTCACTGCTACCAATCTCTCGCCCTCCCTCAGTGGCCTCTTACGACACCCACGGGAAAGTAAGAGGTGGCCTATTCTATGCCGGGACCACACGGCTATCTATTTATAATAGTTATGGTAAATTAACATGTCCATTTCTTTTTCAGGACTTCGAACCCGTACCTGTACCAAAACAACAGTATGGGAACTTTTACTCCGGGGATTCATACATTGTTTTGAAGGTAAGATATCCACAGACTCGATAAAACTTAATCAACAATCACTTCTGTGGTAATTTCAACAAAAACGTAATCAAGTTATGTTGAAATTACCACAGGAGCACCATCTAAATGAGGTTTTTTTTTTAATGGGTGACAATGGAATGGTAACCCCGCCCGCGCTATCGATATACACTGGCGAGGCACCAGTGAAGGATGATAGGTGAGGATGAAGCAGGTCAGTTAGCTCATCGTGACGGATTCAACAAGAATTGTTCACGATGGTTTCCAGGGGGAACCACGTGGAGGTCGACCTGATAGGGTATATTGTTAGTAATGGGGCTGTTAGATCCCATTATTAACAATCCCTTTCTCCCCTCTAAACGAGGTTAGTAACCAATCGAAATATTCAATCGATAGATCCACTTCTGATTTGTACTACTGTTGGACATCAGCAGACTGTCTTATGGTCGGAATTTTTTTTTATTTTCAATAATCGAAACGGACTATAAAAATTATAACAAAAAGAAAAAAAAGGAATTAATAAAAGACTTTATTTCAATTGACACATTGTGTAGCTTAAAGTAACTAAAAACAAAAAACATAAATTTTAGGAAAATATAATTGACTTTTTCATAAATAGATGATAATGATATGGTAATCCCGTCTGCGCTACTGCGGCGGGGCACCAGTGAGAGATGATAGGTGAGCATGAAGGCAGGTCAGTTGCCGTGTAGTTCTTTCTTTCTCTTTCTTTCCCATGGGTGTCGTAAGTGGCGACTAAGGGAACTTAACGGTCGCGATATGGGCAGCAGCGTCCCTATTAATATATCTCTAAAGCCTAACTGCAGTTGCCAACCCGCCTGCCAAGCGTGGCAACTGCTGGCAATACTCCCTTATTGTGGAAGGCCTATGTTCAGCAGTGGACAGTTAAAGGCTGATATAAAAATGTTAAAAGTTCCCAACACTTACAATACCTTCTCTTCACTGAAATAATGTTTTCCCATTTTTCTCAGACATCCGGAGACGTTCCCAATCTGAACTGGGACATCCACTTCTGGTTGGGCACAAAAACGTCCCAGGACGAGGCCGGCACGGCGGCCATCTTGACTGTCAATTTGGACGATAACCAGTTCCAGGGAGCCGCGGTCCAGCACAGAGAAACCCAGGGATACGAGTCCAAACAGTTCCTGAGTTATTTCGAACCAGGTAAGTTTGAATTTGGCCACGTAATCCCGGCATAGAATGGGCCACCCCTTCCTTTCCTGCGGGTGTCGTAAGAGGCGACTAAGGGAATTTAAAGCTCGAAGAATGGGCAGCAGCGTTCCTCTTCAAATATCACCAGATCATAACTGCGGTTGCCAATTCTCCTGCGAAGCGAGGCAACTATTGTAAAGGCCCTAATAAGGGAAGGCGGGAGGAAGAGGGATTGTAAGTAATGGGGATTAGTAGCTCCATTGCTAGCAATATACCCTGTCAGATCTACCTCCTCGTGGTTCCCCCTGGAAACCATTGTTATTGACTTATTGTCACGGTGGGTTAATTGACCTGCTTCATCCTCACCTATCATTCCTCATTGGTGCCCCACCAGTGTCTTTCATTAGCGCAGGTAGAGTTACCATTTCATTATCATCCAAAAAAAAATAAGAAGAGGCTCTCCCCTGGAAACCATCGTACTGAATTCCAGATGTATTCATCACGATGTGCTAACTGACCTGCTTTCATCCTCACCTATCATCCCTCTCTGGTGCCCCGCCGGTGTATACCGATACAGGCGGGGTTACCATTCCATTATCAGCCTTTAAAAAAAATAAAGTATAGCTTATGTACAGCAATGGACAGTTAATGTCAGACGTTACCATGATGATATGATGAATAAACTTTATACTGTTTATTTTACCAGCGATCCGTTACCTGGACGGTGGGCACGCGTCAGGGTTCAGCCACGTGACCATCAACGCTGGCGCCGAGAAGAGGCTGTTCCAGATCAAGGGCAAGAGGAATGTGAGAGTGCGACAGGTATCCAAAATTCTCGCATCCTTAATTCGCGGTTAAAGATTCCTTTATTGGCGGTTCTAATCGGTACATATTAATAAAAAGGCATCGGAAAATGGACTAATGAAAAATTAAAACAAACCTTATTACAACTGCACCTAAAGTATGTTGTCAAATGCTGTCGCCGCTGTATAAGTGGTTCAGCTTTCTATATTCACGGTATTTTTACGGAACGTAACATATACACCGCGAATAGAGAGCTTTTACTGCATATATATTTCCTTCCACCACAGATATTGTATATATATATATATATATATATATATATATATATATATATATATATATATATATATATATATTTTAACATATTACGTGTATGTTTTTATTAGTCTAATTTAATGTTTATAATATACTAGCGACCGGCCCGGCTTCGCACGGGTGCACACTACATCCCATCACATTAGAATAGTATAATAATATAGTATTGGGTATTTTATAATATAATTTAAATGCTTGAGATTGTGCGCCATGTTTTACTATATATATATATACGTATTACATTATGTAAATAGAACTGTTATGGTTCCGTGTAATTATTGTCGAGGCGAGGTTAGTACCAAGGCTTCGTTATTTTTTTCTTCATGATTCATGACTTTTTATTGCATTTATTTTTCCACGTCTCAAACTCAGTGTCACGTTGTTTATCATCATCATCATCATCATCATCATCATCATATCAGCCGTTAACTGCCCACTGCTGGACATAGGCCTCCTCCATTAAGAGGAGTTTTGCCAGTATCCAGTTTTACCAGAGGGAAACTTTGTACAAAAGTCGATTGCTTGGGTACCTCTGTTCCATTCGTGTTTCAACCGTGAAGCAGCTGTGTTTGCATGGCTGTGTTTCGGTTTGAATGGTGGGATATGACGTGAATTTACTGGGTACAGAGCAATAACACCTGAGTCCTCAGGAATGGCAACGCATGGCGGGTATCATGGACGAAACGGTATACTCTGTTATGTCCATGGTACTGCTCATGTGTATAGGCGACGATTACCACTTTCCATCAGGTGGGCCGTCAGCTTGTTTACCATTCTGAGTTGTATAAAAAAATCCAGGATTAGCATGTTGGTTGGCAACTGCATTTAGGCTTTGATGTTTCAAGAGAGACGCTGCTGTCCATCCCTCGAGCATTAAGTTCTCTTAGTCGCCTTTTACGCCACCTATGGGAAAGGAAGCGGTGGCCCATTCTATGCCGGGATATACCTACACGGGGCATACCTACTACTTGCTTCGACAGTACAAATACTAAAATTGGAACGATACAGAGAAGATTAACATGGCCCCTGCTAAAGGATGACACGCAAAATCGTGAAGCGCTCCACATGTTTTTTTTTTCATAAGCACAATGGCCCAAATAAGAGGCTAAACGCGGAAAATAGAGTCTTTTTCACATTTACCTTTAAACGGGGATTTTGCCAGTAGTTGCTATTCTTGGCAGACGGGTTGGCAACCGCATTTTTGTTGTAATGAGTGAAATGGTATGATAACCCCGCCTGCGCCAACGGGATACACTGGCGGAGCACCAGTGAAGGGTGATAGATGAGAATGGAAACAGGCCAGTGAGCGCATCATGATGAATTCATCAGGAATTAACCATGATAGTTTCCAGGGGAACCGCGAGGAGGTCGACCTGGTTGGGTATATTGCTAGCAATAGGATTGTCGGTCTCTATTACTAACAATTCCTTTCCCCCCTGGCAACCGCAGTTAGGCTTTAGTGATGTCTCAAGAGAGATGATCCTGCATATACCAAGACCCCTTAATCGCCTACCAAGTTCCCTTAATCGCCTCTTACAACACTTCTGGGAAAGAAACGGACGGATCCTTCTATACCAGGACCTATAGAACATAAATAGATAGACAGATAGATACTCTTTATTGTTTCCTCCAAAAGATTACAATAGTAAACTTATTTTAGACTAGCGGCCCGTCCCGGCATCGTACGGGTGGACATTTTTACATTTTAAAAAGTGGCTATTAAGGCTGCACACGCGACGGAAGCTTAAAAATAGAGTAACTTCTCCCGTATTCCCGACATTTCCCGTCACTGCTCTGCTCGTATTGATCGTAGCGTGATGAAAAGTATACTATAACCTGCCCAGGAGTATGAAGAATAATTATACCAAGTTTCGTTGAAATCCGTCGAGTAGTTTTTGTTTCTATAACGAACATACAGACAGATAGACAGACAAAAATTTTACTGATTGCATTTTTGGCATCAGTATCGATCACTAATCACCCACCGATAGTTATTTTGGAAATATATTTCATGTACAGAATTGACCTCTCTATAGATTTATTATAAGTATAGATATAAACAATTACAAGAAACAATCACAGTAAGAAAACAATGGGCGAACTTATCGCTAAGAGCGATCTCTTGCAGCCAACCTTTGGATGGAGAGGAGTAATTATAGACATATATACAAATGTAATTTGGTACCAAAAAATCTTCCTCTATTCTCAGGTGGAAGCAACAGTGGACTCCATGAACAAGGGCGACTGTTTCATACTGGACGTTGATCATACCATTTACGTATTCGTCGGCGACCAGGCCAAGAGCGTGGAGCGTCTGAAGGCCATATCGGTGGCCAATCAGATCAGGGACCAGGATCACAACGGAAGGGCCGAAATCGATATCATAGGTAAGTATCATCAGTATTTCCGAACCGATACGACATCATAACCTTCAAGAAAAGGGCATATTCCTGTTACCTCCTTGGTAGCCATGTTTCGAAGTAAAAGGTCATTCCATTTTTAATTACAGGACAGACATGAGTTTAAATAGTAATTTATCTGGCTTCAAAACACGACAGATATGGATTTTCATACAACTTTTGCCGGCCGCTGCTCGCATGTATCTGGCCAGTACGGCAATTTTGATTTATTTCATTTACAAATAGTACATTACTGCAGTGGCCAGCAACTGAGGCATTGATGGACGAACGTGCAAATGTGGGTCGAGGCGTAGCCGAGGCACACATACGTGAGTCCATCAATGCCTAGTTGTGGCCAAGGCTTGTATAGTACTTTTCTCAAACAATGCGCGGAAATCAAAAACACAATTTTACTTTTTAAGTTCAATGACGAATAACGAACAATAATAATTTTTCACGTGCCATAATGTTCCTTTGTTTTTTTTTTTTCAATAAACACCTTTCTATTTGTAAGCCAGTTCGAAATTCAAATAAAACCTTTTATTAGTTACCTCTTTGGTAGCCATGTTTCGAAGTAAAAGGTCATTCCATTTTTAAATTACAGGACAGATATGAGTTTACATAGTAATTTATCTGGCCGCAAAACACGACAGATATAGATTTTCATACAACTTTTGCCGGCCGCTGCCCGCATGTATCTGGCCAGTACGGCAATTTTGATTTATTTTAATTAGAAGAAATAATTTACCAAATCGGTACACAACTGACGAAGGTATGAGGCAACTAGGTAGGAGGTCGAAAGGTGGTTAACAGAAAAAATGTTTTCCAAAATGTTTAATAATTTTAAAGCTTAAATATATGACTCAATTAATTGACTGTAATTTATAATTTATTATTAATATGTTAATATGTTCACATTAACCAGAGGGAGACTTTGTACAAAAGTCGTTTGCTTGGCCACCTCTGTCCCATTCGTGTTTCAACCGTAAAGCAGTTGTGTTTGCATGGCTGTGTTTCGGTTTGAAGGGTGCGATATGGCAGTCAATTTGCAAGGTACAGAGGAATAACACCTGAGTCCTCAGGAATGGCAACGCATGGGGGGTATTATGGGCGAAACAGTATACTCTGTTATGTCCATGGTACTGCTCATGTCTATAGGTGACGGTTACCACTTTCCATCAGGTGGGCTATCAGCTTGTTCGCTATTCTAAGTTGTATAAAAAAAAATGTTTACCTGGTTTAACAGTATTTCATATTTTCCTTTACAGATCCATACTCATCTGGCTCGGACACAGAGAAGTTCTTCACAGCCCTCGGCTCTGGTGATCTGGACTCGGTTTCAGACGCGTCTGAAGGTGGTGATGATGAGGTAACTTAATAACAATTTGAAAAACCTTTTTTTTATACCACTGAGGTGGCAAACAAGCATACGGCCCACCTCGCCATGTCGCCTATAGACATGAGCAGTACCGTGGATATAACAGAGTATACTGTTTCGTCCATGATACCCCCCATGCGTTGCCATTCCTGAGGACTCAGGTGTTATTCCTCTGTACCCAGTGAATTCACGCTATTGCTACATTCAGGTATTGCTAACAATGGGTCAATTTGACCCCATTACTAACAAACCCTCCCCCCTTATAGCTCTGTTATAATTTAAGACCATTTGAACAAACCACATTTCGAGCAAATAATTTTTTTTTTGTTTTCTTTCTCTTCATCATATGGGACCAGGTCTACTCATCTCATGGTCTACACGGGCTTTAACCACGTGTGGGAGAGGTGTGAGAAGTTTCAGAGAAGATATATTTTTGTTTTGCTTAATCTTTTTTTATTTTTGTTCCTCAGGACTTCGAAAGAGGCGATATTAAGGAAGTATCACTCAGTGAGATCTCAGACAGCAGCGGCAGCATCAAGGTGACCAACTTGCCAAAACCTTACCAGCAGGATCAACTGAACACCAAGGTTAGTTTTAACCGCCACAAACTAAAGTTTCATCCCAACCATCTGGACGAGTGGCGGTCCTCCACCGTGCGTTTTTCAAGGCACTTTCTTCCACGCACTACCACTCTTTGGAATCAACTTCCAGCAGCAGTATTTCCGAACCGATACGACAACATAACCTTCAAAAAAAGAGCATATTCCTTTTTAAAAGGCCGGCAGCACACCTGCAATGCCGCTGGTGTTGTGGGTGATCATGGGCGGCGGTAGTCACTTACCATCAGGTGAGCCGCATGCTCCTTTGCCCCCTGTGTTGTAAAAAAAAATCCATTCTATTTATACCTCTGAGGTAACAAAACCGTGGGTGTCGTAACGACTAGAGGAACTTAGCGTTCGAGAGAAGGGCAGCAGCGTCCCTCTTAAAACATCACCAAAGCCTAACTGCAGATGCCAACACGCCTGCCAAGCGTGGCAACTACTGGCAAAATCGTATTGTATTGTATTGTAAAAATCTTTATTGTACATAACTCAGATTAAATACTGGTAAATGGTTTAATATACAATGGCGGACTTATCCCGTAAAGGCATCTCTTACAGTCGACCTTTGAGAAGCTGAAAGAAAACTGTAGAATGTACATACAAATAATAACCGTACAGCTAAAGATAAACTAAATAATACCCAGTAAAAAAAATTGAATATGAATCGTCATTATGGGGCAGGCCTATGTTCAGCAGTGGACAGTTAATGGCTGACATGATGATATGATGAGGTAGCAAATAAGCATACGGCCCGCCTGATGGTGAACACCATGCTGTAGTCTCTTAGGAAAATCTATATATCTTTCTAATATAAAATTGAAACTCGATGTCAGTACATATATATATATATATATATATATATATATATATATATATATATATATATATATATATATATATATATATATATATATATATATATATATATATATATATATATATATATATATATATATATATATATACAAACATAATGTGGTGGTCAAGGAATTGATTGAAATCAATTCAAGAGAACCAAGTGGTTTATTGGAACAAGTGGTGGAAGAAGAACCAAGCAGCACCACAAAACCCAATAGTCTTTCTTTACCTATGGTACCAATTGCTACTCACACACAGTCAAATTTATCATCTGACGACTTTACCCGACGACAGATACATAATAGTAATACTGTATTGTACTCAGATAGAATAGGAATTAACTTAGGATTAATTATGAATAATTGTATGTCAGAACAAATCGTAAATAATTGTATACCCGATGCCCCATTTAATTATATTGTAAAACAAATGTTATGTAATCAAAACAATTACAATAAACACACTACTATTGTATTTTTGATAGGAAATAGTATAGGTGTTTCTCAGAAGGACTTGAGATATCTTCTTAAATCTGTCTCAAATATGACTATAAAAAAATTTATTATATGTACTTTTCCTTATTCGGTTTCATTGTCTCGAAATAAGAACCAACAAATTTATAGACTTAATACTTTAATGTATAACATGAGCTGTTTTGTTGAAAATATTCATTGTTTTGATACAAATAAATTTGTAAATAATTTTAAATTGACTGAAGGTACATTGTACCTCTCACAATTTTACAAACGACAGTTAGCTACATTGTTAGCTTATAATATATTACATAGTCCTGTTATAAATAGTATAACAGTTAAACATAAAAATTGTATAGTATTTAGTAATTATACTAATGATTATTTAAACTTAGTTTACTGACAAAGAGAAAGCCAAAACATCTTAAACTAGTTCATCAAAATATTCAAGGCTTTCTTGGCAAAGAATTACTAATAGAATTATTTTTAAATGAATTTAATATTGACATTCTATGCCTCACTGAACATTGGCTAAAAATGACAAACATGTCAATTCACATACCGAATTATAAAATCCAGAGTGTATTCAACAGACAAAACTCTATAAGAGGAGGGTCTATTATTTTTGTAAATAGAAATATTAAAGTTAAAGAGCGTAAAGATATAGTAGCACTTTCTAAGGAATGTGTTGTTGAAATCTCATGTACAGAGTTGGATAAATATATAATTATATGTGTATATAGACCCCCAAACTCAGACTACGTCAAATTTGAGTCCATCATGGAGGATGTACTGAAATTAGCATTTAAAAGTAATAAATCTATATTAGTATGCGGGGACTTTAACGTGGACATTCTAATTGATAGTCCTATGAAGACAAAAATCAATAGTTTGTTTAAAAGTTTTGGTCTAGTTCATGTCTTCTTAGAACCGACGCGAATTACATGTAATACAACAACATGTATTGACAATATATATTGTAATTTTAATATTTTAAATAAATCTATTATAAATACTTTACCTTCGGACCATTGCGGACAAAGTGTGACATTTACATGTAATGAAATTACGGAAGATACCTATAAACTCTATAGACCAACAACAGCATATAAATTGCAGAAATTCAGGGATAGATTAAAGGAAAGCCTACCTTTTTTAAAGTATGATGATAATAATATAAATCCTAGTACATTATATGACCGATTTTTCAATATAGTAAAATCTCATTTTGATAATAATTTTCCAATTAAGAAGTCAAAGATTAAGAATTCAAAATTTTGTGAATGGTCTACGTTTGGTATTAGAAAAAGTAGAGAGAATATGTATCAACTGTATGATATCAAGAGCTATTTGCAAGAACCTATTTTTGTTGAATATGTGAAAAATTACTCAAAAATATTTAAAAGAGTGTGTAACGCTGCTAAGATCCTTCACTTAAAACGTAAAATTACAACATCTAAAGACAAAATAAAGACTACGTGGAACATAATAAACACGGAAATAGGTAACAAAAAGTCTCGTCAGTTAAAATATAGGCTGAAAACTGAAAATGGTATCGTTGATAAAAATGATCAAGTTGCTCAAGTTTTCGAAATTTTTTTCTCAACAATACCTTTAAAAGCAACAAAATCATTAAATTCGTCACCTGATTTAGCTAAACAATTATTAAAAAACACTGTGAGTTCCTGTATCTATGATTTTAGGTTTCATTACATAAATTCTTCTTGTATAATAAAAGCCTTTAACTCTCTCAATTTGAAAAATACGGAAGATATTTGGGGTATGTCAGTAAAGCTAATGAAATCTGTAATAAATGAAATTGCTCCTCATCTGGCTATAATATTTAACAAGAGTATTGATCAAGGAGTGTTTCCAGATCTAATGAAAGTTAGTAAAATAATGCCGTTATTTAAGTCTGGTGATAAGGAAAACCTTACTAACTTTAGGCCAATCTCAATTCTACCAGTATTTAGTAAGATTTTCGAAAAATTAATTCTTCTACAAATGTTAGACCATTTCAATTTACGTGACTTACTCCACAAGCAACAATATGGATTTACAAAAGGACGATGCACTGTTGATGCCGGCATTAATTTAATGCAATGCATTTTCAGTGCATGGGAGAATTCACAAGATGTAATTGGTGTATTTTGTGATCTTTCTAAGGCATTCGATTGCGTCGATCATAAAACTTTATTAATGAAGCTTGAACATTATGGAGTTAGAAATAAGTCTTTAGATCTCTTAAAATCTTACTTAAATTCAAGAATTCAAATAATAGAAGTAAACGGTGTCAATTCTAGTGGATCTTATATTGAAATGGGTGTGCCTCAGGGATCTATTTTGGGTCCTTTTCTTTTTCTTGTATACATGAATGACTTACCGTATCATGTTCAAGATTTGTCTGATATTGTATTATTTGCTGATGACACTTCACTAATGTTTAAAGTGAATAGAAATACACATAACCTTGACCATGTAAATGTTGCTTTGTCTAAGGTTTTGATATGGTTTACGTCAAATAATCTAGTACTTAATTCAAAAAAAACTAAATGTATCAGATTTTCCATATCCAATACTAAGCAAGTGAATACCGCTATTAGATTAGACCACCAGGATTTAGACTTTGTAGATAAAACCACTTTTCTTGGCATAGTAGTTGATTATAAGTTGCAATGGGGCTCCCATATATTTGAATTGGCCAACAGGCTGAGTTCAGCTGCTTATGCTGTTAGAAAAATCCGACAATTAACTAATACAATAACAGCTAAGCTTGTATATTTTAGTTACTTTCACAGTATCATGTCATATGGCATTATATTATGGGGGAGGGCTGCTGACATCGATACAATCTTTGTATTGCAAAAAAGAGCAGTTCGGTCAATATTTAATTTGCCTTCTCGGGAATCTCTTAGAGAATATTTTAAGCAAACAGGTATACTTACTGTTCCCTCGCAATATATATACGAAAACATTATGTATGTACGTAAAAATATAAATCTTTTTAAAAATAACAGTGACATACATAATTTCAATACAAGAAATAAAAACAAATTGAATGTTCCTTGTTATCGCCTTAGAAAAGTCAGTACATCTTTCATGGGGAACTGTATACGTTTTTATAATAAACTTCCAGATGACGTTTTACAATTAAATGAAAGAAAATTTAAGACATATATAAAAAGGACTCTCTGTACAAAAGCATATTATAAATTAAATGACTATTTAAATGACAAAACTGCATGGATTTGAATTTTGTATTAATGTGAATTGTATTGTAAATGTAATTATTGCATTTTTTCTTAAATCAATATTATTTTCTATAGTAATTATTATAATTATAGACTGACGTATCATAAGTATCTGTAACGGATGTATATGAATAAAGATGATTGATTGATTGATTGATATATATATATATATATATATATGGAATTAATCACAATAGTTTCCATAGGGAACCACGTGGAGGTCGACCTGACATGGTATATTGCTAGCAATGGGACTGGTGATGACTTACTAACAATCCCTTCCCCCCCCCCCTTTCCGGCTAAAGGATTGAAATAACTTGATATTATTGTATTTCAGGAATGCTATATCTTGGATACTGGCAGTAGCGGAATCTACGTCTGGGTTGGGAGGGAGTCCAACGAAAAGGTAATATTTAGCAGTATAGAGAATATCTATGCTGTTCTTATATCTATATTCATTTTTAGGGTTCCCTACCTGTAAAGGAAAAACGGAACCCTTATACGAACACTTCGTAATACCCCTGGTGTTGCAGGCGTTCATAGGCTACGGTAACCGCTTACCATCAGGTGGGTTGTTTGCGACCTCAGTGGTATAAAAAAAAAGTTTAACGCTTTAGTTCGCTAGCTGAGAACTTTTTAAATAAATAGTCAGAAACTTGAAGGAGTTGATTTATTTTTGATAAATTAACAGATAATCGCGTCGTTGCCACACTGCAGAAAGCTAAAGTTATGAACCTAAGAACAAGGAATTACATAGAAGGAATGATACAATGAAAACTGTATATCATATGGTTGTCTCCTCTCTTCTTATGCAAATATAGTTAGTAAAAAGAGGACGAAAGATACACCATCAGTTGCCATTTTTCTCAATTCATAGCAGGCTAGTGTACATGTTATACGGCCGTATAACCCTACCAAATTCAGATACAACCTGCTTGCATACTTTCTACATAAACTGTGTCCAATATATACTCTAATAATGTAATTCCTTGTTCTTAGTTAGGAACACTCTTAAGTATATCTCTTTCAGTTCTCTAGTGCTCATACTACAAGCTATGCTCAGTTTGGGCCTAGATGGCACTGTGCGATTTGGCCAGTGGTGTTTATTATTATTAATATTATTTCAGGAGAAGGCCGAAGCCATGAACAAAGCACAACAGTACCTGAAACATCATAATTTACCTCCATGGGTAAGGAAAATTTATCATATTTTTTATCACAATAAAAAAAGCTAAACTTGCTATAAACAGGTTTTCAATACGTGCGTGTGCGTGCGTGCGTGCGTGCGTGCGCGTGTGTGTGTGTTTGTGTGTATGTGTGCGTGCGCGAATCTACGTATGTATGTGTAATTGACATTTTTAAAAGAGTAAAGTGCCACACACTTGAATTGTTTTTTTTAAAGTAACTTTTTCTTTCAGGTGCACGTATCGAAGGTACCAGAAGGAATAGAACCGACAGCGTTCAAACAGTACTTCGAAGCGTGGAACTGAAATGTTATTATATGTACATTTTTACAAGGTTCATATATTTTTGTTACTTTTTCTAAGTTCATATATTTTATATGTACTTACTACATAAAATGCACCATTAACACTAACGGAGCCATTAATCTTCAGTATTTCAAAATGCGGTATTAATTGTATACATATAATTATGTATACATTTGTTTTTATTGAGTTCATATATCTTTGTTACTTTTCCTAAGTTCTAATAATTTACTTAGTCTATTACGAAGTGTGATTAAATGCACAAATATAAATAAATATGTGTAATTTAAGTTTCAAGTATTGCAATTAATACATCAATAATATTATAACAGTAATTAGAAGCTTGGTATTAAATATTATCCATTAAAAATATATGTACCTTTTTATTAATTAAGTTCATATAATTTTGTTAATTCTATATAAGTAATAATACTGCATTTGTATTTCATAATGCAGATATTTCGAAGCTTTATATAAAATGGGGGATGTTCAAGAAATACGTAACGTAATTTAGGGGAAAGGTCTTGTAAAACATTACGATACGTTACAAGGGGGGGGGGGGGTTCGAACAAAATGTTAAGTACATTTTGTTTATTCAATTAAAAACTAGAGAAATACAATCTCCTAAGCCGTCAACCCTTATCTGTTATATTTTTCGAGAAATCCCTCGAATATATTGTACGTCATTTTTATTTTGTTATCGTTGTCAGTATTCGGTAATTTTGCGATTTTAGGTAAAAATGGTTACTTGGGTGTTACATAACGTTTAGGGATGAGGAGGGGAGTACAGAAAAATGCTACAGCACGTTACATGTAGGGAGGGGGACAAAAATTTACAAAAATTGTACTACGTAAAACTTGGACGTCCCCTTGTAATGTATTCATTTATATTTTTATTACTAAGTTCATATATTTTTGTTAATTTTATAAGTTCATATAAAGTATTGCATTTGTATTGCATCATTGTTACTAGATGATAAAAGAAACGTGATATTTTTATAATTATATTTTAAATGCACAAATAATTTTTGTTTTAGTAAATAAATTATAAAAAAATAATAATTATTAAGTATTTTTATTTAACTTTTAAGAAACTTTTTAAAAGTGGTTCTTAATTCGACTAAATTATTTGGTGAAATAAGGGATTGATAGTGATGGTAATTAACAATCCCATTGCTAGCAATATACTCTATCAGGGCGACCTCCACGCGGTTCCCACTGGTAAACATTGCGGCTGATTTATTGTTGAATTAACTAGTCACGATGGGGCAACTGACCTGCTTCATCCTCACCTATCATCCGTCACTGGTGCCCCGCCGGTGTATACCGATAACGCAAGTGGACCTATTACTCCATTCATCACCATTTCACCCGTTAACTGTCCACTGCTGAACGTAAGCCTTCCTCATACGAGGAGTATTGCCAGTAGTTGCCACGTTTGGCAAGCGGCCACCAAAATAATAATTGGAATAAGGGTAGCAAGATGATGATAATTGTGCAGGAAAAATATATGTTTTCAATTAAAAATATAAATAAATAATAAACATGTATGAAAAATGGTACATTGATTTCCAGTAACTAAATCAATTCCGTTTAACTAATACACAATAACTGTAAACAGCTTTTATCTTATTCAACTAATATTAACATAAAAATTTGAAGATTTGTATGTGCGTTTATTTTTTTATTTATTTATTTATTCATTAATACATATATGTGTGCATGGCGGACTTAATGCTAAAAGCATTCTCTCCCAGTCAACCGTAGGGAAGTGTCAGAATACTCGAATGCGGTACTAGTAATTATTGATATACATACATACTAAAATTACATATATAAACGAATAAATATATATAAATAACAAATATACTTACACATATATGACATTTTTTTTTATACAACTTAGAATGGCAAACAAGCTGACGGCCCACCTGATGGAAAGTGGTAACCGTCGCCTATAAATATGAGCATTACCATGGACATAACAGAGTATACTGTTTCGCTCATGATAGCCCCCATGCGTTACCATTCCTGAGGACGCGGGTGTTATTCCTCTGTACCCTGCAAATTCACGCCATATCCCACCCTTCAAACCGAAACACAGCTATGAAAATACAACTGCTTCATGGTGGAAATACACATATACTATATTATACACGAAATTGTGAATAATATAAAGCACTTACTGCTCGGATAAAGTAAAAAAGTGAGCGTGAACGCTTTTTTTTTAAAGACGGTTTAGTTTTTACTACGTTTTATTCGTGATTTCGGAATGTGTTCACAGACGGAGATAAGAGTTCTCCATTCCACATAATATATCATTACAAACTAGCTGTCCAATGCTGAACATAAGACCCCGCCCTTGGGGGGTTTTGCCAGAAGTTGCCACACTTGGCAGGCGGATTGGCAACCGCAGTTTATTTTTTAATGGGTGATAATGGAATGGTAACCCCACCCGCGCTATCGGTATACCCCGGCGGAGCACCAGTGAAGGATGATAGGTGAGGATGAAGTAGGTCAGTTAGCCCATCGTGACGAATTCAACAAGAATTGTTCACGATGGTTTCCAGGGGGAACCACGTAGAGGTCGACCTATTAAGGCATATTGTTAGCAATGGGGCTGTCAAACTCCATTACTAATAATCCCTTTCCCCCCCTGGCAACCGCAGTTAGGCTTTGGACATGTTTTAAGAGGGGCGCTGTTGCCCACTTTCTATCTTTAAATGCCCTTAGTCGCCTCTTGAGACAATTAACGGCTGAAATAATAATAAAAAGTAATAATATAAAAGCAAATACCAGAGGGAGACTTTGTACAAAAGTCGTTTGCTTGGGCACCTCTGTCCCATTCGTGTTTCTACCGTAATACAGTTGTGTTCGCATGGCTGTGTTTCGGTTTGAAGGGTGGGATATAGCGTGAATTTACTGGGTACAGAGGAATAACACCAGAGTCCTCAGGAATGGCAACGCATGGAGAGTATCAGGGACCAAACAGTATACTTTGTTATGTCCATGGTACTGCTCATGTCTATAGGCGACGGTTACCACTTTCCATCAGGTGGACCGTCAGCTTGTTTGCCATTCTGAGTTGTATAAAAAAAACAAACAACATTTTGTACGCTGACAAATCAGGAAAAAAAAACAACTGCAAATATCAAGCATCGCCGCGTGACACACTAGTCCACCTCATATCTTTAAGTTGACCTATTGACATCGAAACGTGATAAATAATAATTATATATACTTATGTAAATATAGTGTATTCAGAGATTCTAAGTTATTGAGCGATAACTCACTTGTGCCGTAGTGAATTCATTAAAAAAAAAAGTATTAAAAATATATATTAGGTAAGTCGCATTATTACTTATTACATTAGCTATACATATATATCATATATCTAATGGGGGGTATCATGGGCGAAACAGTATACTCTGTTATGTCCATGGTACTGCTCATGTGTATAGGCGACGGTTAACACTTTCCATCAAGTGGGCCGTCAGCTTGTTTGCCATTCTAAGTTGCTTAAGAAAAGCATTTATTTGTTTCACTTTAACACACTTTAAACATACAATACTTAGAATATATAAATAATAAATACATATATCAGTGAAGTTTCCACAATAAATTAACACCTCAAAAAAAACGAGAGCAAATGATCAATACGAAATTAAGAACAAGGAATTAGATAGAAGGAATGATAAAATAAAAACTGTAAATCATATAGTTGCCTTCTTTCTTCTTATGCAAATATAATTAGTAAAAAGAGGACGAAAGATACACCATCAGTTGCTATTTTTCTCAATTGATAACAGGCTAGTGTATAAAAAATGTGTATGTAAATTTTTTATTCATTTACATTACTAGATTAAGTTATATATTCGACACAGTTTATGTAGAAAGTATGCAAGCAGGTTTTATCTGAATTTGGTAGGGTTATACGGCCATATAACATGTACACTAGCCTGCTAGGGATTGAGAAAAATATATGAATATATTAAGTATTAGGTACTTTTATATTTCCTCTATTTAATAATGCATCGCCTACTTATTTCTCTGTTTACCCAATGGTTGACTGTTAGGGAACACCGTCCGTTATTAAATGGGCCAAATGTACATATTATTTCACTGTGCATTAAAGATTAAATAAACAAATAATGCATACTTTTACCCGCGACTTTGTCCGTGTGACTGAAATATATAAGATATTCGACTGGTATGGACGATATCGTAATGTGATCATCAATATCATAGATATCGGATATTAACTATCTTTTAGAATAATGTTTACCAGAGGGAGACTTTGTATAAAAGTCGATTGCTTGGATACCTCTGTCCCATTCGTGTTTCTACCGTGAAGCAGTTGTGTTTGTATGGCTGTGTTTCGGTTTGAAGGGTGGGATATGGCAGTGAATTTACAGGGTACAGAGGAATAACATCTGAGTCCTCAGGAATAGCAACGCATGGGGGGTATCATGGGCGAAACAGTATACTCTGTTATGTCCATGGTGCTACTCATGTGTATAGGCGACGGTTACCACTTTCCATCAGGTGGGCCGTCAGCTTGTTTGCCATTCTAAGTTGTATAAAAATAAAAAATAAATAAAAATAAATAATGTGTATTCAACTTTCGCCTCTACTCACCTTATAGAGAATTGATTAATCAAGCGATCTGATATTGATGAACACGACCGTATACGACGACCATAATTCCGTGTTGCTACAAGCTTTTTTAGTAGCCTGACTAGTATTTCCCGCGCTGTCATAGACAGCGCAAGCGTACATGAAACTACGAGATAAAAAAAAATAAAAATTAAAAATAGAACGTGAGTAACTTTTATATTCTTTTTATTTTTTTATATGACAAAGTTTATTCATTTATAGTGCTGTAGATAATAAAAACTTGTATATATATAGTTATTATGATAAACTGCAACTAAATAAAAAACCAGTTTAGTACTACAGTTGTTTTTAGATTAAAAAAAGCCTAGATTTCTTTTTACCTACTTATTTCTTGTTAAGCGCTGTCCGGTTACGCTAAATGACTTTGATTTATGTGATAAATTTATAAGAAACAGAGAATGTGCTTTAATTTTTTTTTTATTTTTATTTTTAACTAGTTTTGTTTCTTACTTCGTACGTATGGATTTCAGAAGTAAGAAAATCAATTAAATATACCACTTCTGGATGGCGTATTAAGTTAAAATATATAGCTGATTGTATTTTAGACCTTCAGGGATATAAATATAAAAACCGGATCCAATTTAGTGAAATAGTTTTTGCGTAAAACTGGAACGTACATACAGGTAAAGAGACAAAATTTACTAAAAAAAAATATTGGTGTTTTCAAGAGCCTTCATATTTTTTTTTTTTTTTTTTTTTTACTTAAGCCCCATGCACAAACATTGTCAAGCTAAAATTTTATTACTTTAACAAGACTGTATTTAGTAGACTAGTATATAATATATTTAATATATTGTTATTATTAACAAATGTAATTTAAGTGAAATTATTTAATAATTATATTTATATACCCAATGACGGTAAAACATAGCGTTTTACACGTCAAATTTATACTACCATTAAAGTTTATTCAAATAAATTATTGAATAATTAATCGTAATATTAGTAGGATCTGTTATATATTTTAAAATGTTGTTGATAGATATTCAAATGTCGAAGAGAAAAAAACAACAAACTTTTAAAAAAGGAAGATCTCTTTTCGGTTGTATTTTTTTTTTATGTCAGTTACCTCATAATTTGGATTATATAGATAGAGCATCGAACCTCAAAAACGGGTCAACTTGTTGTCAGTTTATTGTCAAATTAGCTGACTCGTTTTTTCCCTTTACTGGTGCCCAGCCAACATAAGAATCTACGATTAGCCCAAGCGGGATTACCATTCCATTATCATCCATTAAAAAAAAATAATAATAAAAATAAAAAACAAAGCAAATACAGCAATGGAATCCGGAGGAAGGGGAAAGGGATTGTTAGTAATGGAGACTGAGAATCCTATTGCTAGCAATATACCCAACTAGGTCGACCTCCTCGCGGTTCCCCCTGGAAACTATCATGGTTAATTCCTGATGAATTCATCATGATGGGCTAACTGGCCTGTTTTCATTCTCATCTATCACCGTTCACTGGTGCTCCGCCAGCGTATACCGTTAGCGCAGGCGGGGTTATCGTACCATTTTCACCCATCAAAAAAAATCCAGAGGAAGACGCGTTCTAAATATTAATTCCTAGACGTTATTGATATAAAAGCTACTACCTTACGCAAATCATAATGACTATCATACATACAACTCATTCAAAGCTGTATAAAAAAAAAAAACTTTGAGAAACCTTGCACTAGGTGTATGAGACATTGAGGAATGGCCGTGTTTAAGTGAGACAGTCGTCCTGAACCATTTAACAACAAAACAAACATACAAAGAATGAATTAATCCAATTAAAACAGCTTACTACGTACGTAACAACAAGGTCGTTTTCATTTAGTCATCACGATTCGTGAGTCAATGGCTGGGTCATCGGCTAAAGTATTACGTGATTTGCCTGCATAAACAAAGACAGGTACTGTTTTGTTATTAATAGATAGATAGATAGATAGATAGATAGATAGATACTCTTTATTGTTTCCTCCGTAAGATTACAATAGTAAACTTATTATAAATATAAACAATTACAAGAAATAATCACAGTGAGAAAACAATGTGCGACCTTATCGCTAAGAGCGATCTCTTGCAGCCAACCTTTGGTTGGAGAGGAGTAATTATAAACAATATGGCGGGAGGCACGATGAAAAATTCTGTATGTTAATGATAATAGAATGGCAACCCCGCCTGCGCTAACAGAATACGCTGGCGGGGCACCAGTGAGGGATGATAGGTGAGGATGAAAAGGCAGATCAGTTAGTCCATCGTGATGAATACACTTGAAGTTCAGCATGATAGTTTTCAAGAGGGACCGTGTGGAGGTCGACCTGACAGGGTATATTGCTAACAATGGAACTGGTAGTCCGCATTACTGACAAATCCTTCCCCTCCCTCCTCCTCCTCCTGTTTGGAGACCAATTTATTTGCCTTTATGCTCGCCTCTTTTTATACCATAAAAAAGAAACGCTAGTTGACAATGATTCTAATTTTTTTGTATCTTTGTTACAGCATGCGGGTGTTGCACATTGTAGCGCTTGCAGCGCTGACTGTAGCGGTCAACTGCCGCACCACCACACGGCAGCAGGCGATCGCACCAGTTTCTCCACAGATTACGTCTCTCACTGACAAGGTAACATAAAGAGGGAGACTTTGTACAAAAGTCGATTGCTTGGGTACCTCTGTCCCATTCGTGTTTCAACCGTGAAGCAGTTGTGTTTGCATGGCTGTGTTTCGGTTTGAAAAGTGGGATATGGCAGTAAATTTACAGGGTACAGAGGAATAACACCTGAGTCCTCAGGAATAGCAACGCATGGGGGGTATCATGGGCGAAACAGTATACTCTGTTACGTCCATGGTACTGCTCATGTCTATAGGCGACGGTTACCACTTTCCATCAGGTGGGCCGTCAGCTTGTTTGCCACTCTTCAAATGTTTCTATTCTATTCTTAAGGATCGGCAAAGCGCGCGTGACATCCCTGGTGTTACAGGCGTCCATAGGCTACGGTAAACTCTTTTACCATCAGGCGGGCCGTGTGCTTGTTTGCTACCATAGTAGTATAAAAAATTACCTAGTTACAATTTTATTATAATACATAGTAATATTACAAATATTTTAGCGGAAACATTACCTAAATTAGTCCAGCCTTTTTATATTACCAGCAATAGGACTTCTCCCCACTAATATCCTACTCTTCAGAAATTTTTTTGGTTATGTATATATATATATATATATATATATATATATATATATATATATATATATATATATATATATATTTTACAACACAGTGCAAACGAGCATGCGGCTCACCTGATGGTAAGTGACTACCGCCGCCCATGATCACTTACAACACCAGCGGCATTGCAGGTGTGCTGACGGCCTTTTAAAAAGAAATATGCTCTTTTCTTGAAGGTTATTTTGTTTCAGGACATCAAAAGAAAGGCCTCAGTTCATCCGGCTTTTGCCAACGCTGGCCACCAAGCTGGAGTCGAAGTTTGGAGGATAAAGGTACACAATTATAGATATAGCTAGATAGATACTCTTTATTGCTCCCTCCATAAGATTACAATAGTAAACTTATTATAGATACAAACGCCCCGAGGCCATGAATCTTTTCAAAGAGATTTCACGCCGGCTGGTGCCCCGCAAGCGTATATCAATAGCGCAGGCGGGGTTTACCTATATAATACATAAAAAAAAAATCGGTGAGAGATACGAAGTGAGGATTTCCAGTCAGTTGGCATATCGTGATGAATCAACAAGAATTAACTACGATGGTTCCCAGGAGGAACCGCGTGGAGGTCGATCTATGTAGCGTATATTGCTAGCAATAACATTTCTTAAACCCCATTACTAACAATACTCCCCCCTCCCTCCTAATGATTGGTTAAATCATTGAAACGCCTAGAAGTAACAGACAAACTTTTATAATTGTAGTATTTATAAGTAATAAAGCAGACGAAGCCTTGGGGAGTAGCTAGTTTTATTTTTTTTATACTTACACTAATAAATTTCTCCTATTTCAGGACTTCAACCCAGAACCGGTATCACAGAAAGATTACGGAAAATTCTATAAAGGTGATTCCTATATAGTACTGAAGGTAAGTCTCTTACAATCTGCTTATACATATTATATCATCATCATCATCATCATCATCATCATCATCATCATCATCATCATGTCAGCCTTTAACTGTCCACTGCTGGACATAAGCCTCCCCCTTGGGGTATTTGCCAGTAATTGCCACGCTTGGCAGACGGACTGGCAACCGCAGTTAGGCTTTAGAGATGTTTTAAGAGGCCTCGAGTCCCCTTAGTAGGCTCTTACGACACCCACGGGATAGGAAGGGGTGGCCTATTCTATGCCGCGACAATACGATATATATACAGTCAACAAAACAACATACAAATCAGTTTTATGTGATTAAATGTATGGCAAAATTTCATGAAAGAAGACAATAAGTAATTCTATTGTAAAGACTGTATTTCTCACTGTAACGACACCTGACGACAAAAAATTTTATAAAAAAAAATATTTAAATTGGTATTTTGTTGATTAATGCATGGTTTGAAAAAAATAATTATAGTTTGTACGTATAATATATTAATGTAAAATTTTTAATTATTTATAATTAAATTACTTGGAAATAAAAGATTTATTATTATTATTTATATAATACAAGAATCTTTTTATGCTATTATAATTGGTAAATAAGTAGATAATTTTATGCCTATAGGCCTATAGGCACCATGAGAAATATTATACACGTGTACTAACCTAATTTACGGGGGGGGGGGGGGGGAGGGGGAAAGGGATTGTTAGTAATGGAGACTGACAATCCCATTGCTAGCAATATACCCAACCAGGTCGACCTCCTCGCGGTTCCCCCTGGAAACTATCATGGTTAATTCCTGATGAATTCATCATGACGGGCTAACTGGCCTGTTTTCATTCTCATCTATCACCCTTCACTGGTGCTCCGCCAGCGTATCCCGTTAGCGCAGGCGGGGTTACCATACCATTTTCACCCATCAATAAAAAAAAAACCTAATTTACGGTGATGTCTATTTGAGAAAAAAAACAAAAAACAAAATATTACAAACATAGGCCAGTTATAATGTAACTTACATAAAATGTAGAAAAAAAATAAAATAAAAATATGAAAGTTCCAAATTCAAATTTCCCTACACATCGAAGAATCTTGTATGCGATAAATTGAAATATCGTGTCTCTATAAAAGTTACCGCGTGGTTTCGGCATAGAATGAAACATGGGCCTCACCCTATTAAGAAGTATTGCTAGTAGTCGCCAGGCTCGATAGGCGCGCTGCCAATCAGGTTTTGGTGATGTTTTAAAAGGGACACTGTTGCCCAACCGTCGACCATTAAGCTCCCTTAGTCGCCTCTCACGACACCCACGGGAAAGGAAGTGGTGACCAATTCTATGCCGGGACCACACGGCCATACCATTATTACCCATACCTAATTATATTTCGCGTTTCTCCTCTCTTTCTCAATAGACAACAGCCGACAAAAAGAACAAGCTATCCTGGGACATCTACTACTGGATTGGAAGCGAGTCAACGCAGGACGAGTCGGGTGCCTCGGCTATACTCAGCGTAGGTCTGGATGACAAATTCAACGGCGCCGCTGTCCAGCACAGGGAGACTCAGGGCTACGAAAGTCAACAATTCAAGGCACTGTTCCCGTCTGGTAAGCGATGCTACTAGTTGTGCGTCCGGAGGGGAAGCGATTGTTAGCAATGGAGTTTGACAGCCCCATTGCTAGCAATATGGTTATTTATAGCTATTAGGTCGACCTCCGCGTGGTTCCCCCTGGAAACCATCGTGAACAATTCCTGTTGAATCCGTCACGATGGGCTAACTGACCTGCTTCATCCTCACCTATCATCCTTCACTGGTGCCCCGCCGGTGTATACCGATAACGCGGGTGGGGTTACCATTATCTATTAAAAAAAAAACTTGGTGCACCCTCTAGCGTCAAGTGTTACTAAGCCACCTATAAACAGGAAGTTCTCTGATGAATTTTATTTTTGGAGCATTAATTTTAAGGGCATTGGGCCTTTTAAGGTAGGATATTGCCACTTAATCCCCCCCCCCCCCCCTCCAGCTACAGTCATGCATTCTCTAATTGCTTAGCACGACTCAAGGACTGGTGATTATCAATTGATTTCTAATTGATGAATAACAGGATAAATGTACAGTACGTCGTTTCCTTGTAACCTATGAACAAGTATCTTTTTCTTTTTATACAACTTAGAATGGCAAACAAGCTGACGGCCCACCTGATGGAAAGTGATAACCGTCGCCTATAGACATGAGCAATACCATGCACATAACAGAGTATACTCTTTCGCCCATGATACCCCCCATGCGTTGCCTAGGACTCGGGTGTTATTCCTCTGTACCCTGTAAAATCACGCCATATTTATTTATTTATTTATTCATTAGTACAAATATGTGTACATGGCGAACTTAATGCTAAAAGCATTCTCTCCCAGTCAACCATAGGGAAGTGTCAGAATACTCGAATGCGGTACTACTAATTATTGATATACATACGTACTAAAATTACATATATAAACGAATAAATATATATAAATAACAAATATACTTACACATATATGACATATACTATATTATACACGAAATTGAGAATAATATAAAGTACTTACCATATCCCACCCTTCAAACCGAAACACAGCCATGCAAACACAACTGCTTCACGGTTGAAACATGAATGGGACAGAGGTAATCACGCAAACTACTTTTGTACAAAGTCTCCTTCTGGTATCTTATTTTCGCATATGGGGTCAGCCCGAGCCATATGGATCTTTTGTGCTTCCCCCTGCCTTATACCATCATTTCGTAGATCGTATGTGTTACCCTAACGATATCCCGCAGTTTAAGATATCTGTAGTCCCCTGGCTCTGGATAAGCTATTCCCAGTAGACTCATACGCATACTTGCCAACGAATCGCAGTTGCACATCAAGTGTTCCATGGATTCCGGTTTCTCCCCGCACAGTCTGCACAGTGTGTCCGAAGATAGACCCATCTTGTGTAGTATATGCCTTATTGGCATATGTCCAGTTAGGGCACCCATAATGAGTCTTACCTGTTGTCTGCCACCGCTGTAGATGAGTTTATCCCATTCCTCAGCATTGTCGTTTAAAAACTTATTTTTTTTGGACATACTAAAGTATAGACATATTTTAATGTGTCCAAGAGTATAAATAAACGGCTTAATGCGTTTTTGCCCGTAGCGACAAATCAGGCGCCATATTGAATCTCAAATCCTAACATAACTCCACCCAGGTCTACAGTACCAAAGCGGCGGATACCCGACAGCTTTCCGTCACGTGACTACCAACGCTGGGGCCGAGAAGCGGCTCATCCAGGTTAAAGGAAGGAGAGACGTTAGAGTTCGTCAGGTAAGATCATCACTGACTAGCTGTTTTTGAATTATCATCGTCATCATCATGTCAGCCTTTGACTGTCCACTGCTGAACATAAGCCTCCCCCTTGGAGGGGGGGTTGCCAGTAGTTTCTACACTTGGCTGGCGAGTTGACAATTGCAGTAAGGCTTTGGAGATGTTTTAAGAAAGGCACTGCTGCCCATTCCTCGACCATTTTTTTTTTCAATGGATGAAAATGGAATGGTAACCCCGCCTGCGCTATCAGTATACTGACGGGGCACCAGCTAGAGATAATAGGTGAGGATGAAGCAATTGGCCCATCGTGAGGAATTCTTCAAAAATCAACCCCTATGGTTTCCAGGGGGAATAATAATAATAAACTCTTTATTGCGCCCAATACAGATGTATACAAGGAGTATTTATACAGAATGTACATATACAAGAGGCGGCCTTATCGCTAGAAGCGATCTCTTACAGACAATCTGGAATTAGGAATCGCGTGGAGGTCGACCTGTTAAAGTATATTGCTAGTAATGGGTCTGTTGAATGTCTTTACTAACAACCCCCCCCCCCCTTCATTAACCATTAAATACCCTTAATCGCAGCTTATAAAACACAGGCTGTTCAGACCCGAAACGGTTATAAAATTTATGTCTTTCAGTCAATATACAACTTGGATTGACAGACAAGCTGACGGCCCACCTGATGGAAGGTGATAACAGTTACCTATAAACAGTGAATTCACAGGGTACAGAGGAATAACACCCGAGTCCTCAGGAATGGCAACGCATGGGGGGTATCATGGGCGAAACAGTATATTCTGTTATGTCCATGATACTGCTCGTGTCTATAGGCGACGGTTACCACTTTCCACCAGGTGGGCCGTATGCTTGTTTTCCACCTCGATGGTATAAAAAAAAATAAAGAAAACTCCATTCCAAAACCAGGTGGACCCGAGCATCTCCTCGATGAACAAAGGCGACTGCTTCATCCTGGATGTAGACCACGACGTCTACATATACGTAGGTCCGAACTCGAGGAACGTGGAGAAGCTGAAGGCCGTATCCGTCGCTAACCAGATCAGGGACCAGGATCACGCCGGCCGAGCTCGTGTCGAAACCATTGGTTTGTTTTAGTTCCAGTTATTGGATTACAATTAATTTGTTAAACTCCGATACCATTTTTTTTAATGGATGATAATGGAATGGTAACCCCACCTGCGCTATCTGTATACACCGGCGGGGCACCAATGACGGATGATAGGTGAGGATGAAGTAGGTCAGTTAGCCTATCGTGACGAATTCAACAAGAATTGTTCACGATGGTTTCCAGGGGGAACCACATGGAGGTCGACCTAATAGGGCATATTGCTAGCAATGGGGCTGTCAAACTCCATTGCTAACAATCCCTTTCCCCCCTAAATCCGCTACCATTAGTATGTGTGTGACTGCCAACACTCGAAGATATTTTTTTAATGGTTGATAATGGAATGGTAACCCCGCCTGCGCTATCGGTATACACCGGCGGCGCACCAGTGAAGGATGATAGGTGAGGATGAAGCAGGTCAGTTGGCCCACCGTGACGAATCTAACAATATATCAATCACGATGGTTTCCAGGGGGAACCATGAGGAGGTCGACCTGACTACTAATTACTAGCAACAACTTTAATACTATTTCTAAAAGTTTTAATATAAATCTATTTTCGAAAAACATAATATCAGTGAGGGACCAACTGAGTACGCAATTTTTAATTCATAGCCAGTTTGAATAGCTATTGTATGGATATTTTAATCAATTTTTACTTTATTCATTTATTTATTTATTGCACCATAAATAAAAATATACAATGACAAGTGAATAATCCAAGTGAAATACAGTAACATAAATACAGATTGAAATATACACATAAAGGTACAAAAGGCGGTCTTATCGCTAGGGCGATCTCTTACAGGCAACCTTTGGTTGAAGGAGAACAGATAGAAAGGGGCAGGTGGCGCAAGAGTGAATTAATAATTTTTCGTGCATAAAATACAAAAACATATTTATATTTTATTTTATTCATCATTTTTGTTTTCGTTCCTCTTGTTTGTTCATATTTTTTTTTTGTTAACTCCTATTTTTGTTTCTCTGTGTACAGCGCCTTGTATCTATATTGTTGCTACTTGTGAAAACCTATTAGTGGCTTACTTTGTGATCCTAAACTGTATCTTTTTGCTCTAGTCTAGCCCTGGTTTTGCTATGAATAAATAAATAAATAAATAATCCTTATTACTGTATAATGTTGAAATGTGGTGCTGGGGAAGGATGGAGAAAATTAGCTGGAGGGATCGAATTAGTAATGAGGAGGTACTGCTTAAGGTTAAGGAAAAATGACAAATTATTAGAACTATTGAGGACAGAAGGGGAAAAATGTTGGGACACTTGATACGACACGACCAACTTATGAACATTATAATAGAGGGTAAGATAGAAGGAAGGTGGGGGAGAGGGAGACCGAGACATAGTTACATCAGGCAGATCAAGGAAGCAGTTGGTGTCGTGTCGTATCAAGAGGTGAAGAGACTCGCTGAAAATCGTAGTGAGTGGCAAGAGCTCCACCGACAAGAGTGCAGCTCTTAAATAGGATAGACAGATACTGTATAATAGACAATGGAGTTCAGTGTAGACTCATAGACACCATGAAAGACTCTATCGTTTCACCCCAGACCAGTACTCGAGTGACGTGGACGTACAGAAGTTCTTCACTGCTCTTGGCTCCGGCACCAAAGACAGCGTGCCAGACGCGACCGCTGGCGGGGATGATCAGGTCAGTCGACTGAATAATTTCCATACCCGTCCGATCTATCTTTTTTTTTTTTGTATTAAGCGAGATTTTTTAACTTTTCGAGTATGGCTCTGTTTCGGTTTGAAGGTTGGGATATGGCGTGAATTTACAGGGTACAGAGGAATAACACCCGAGTCCACAGGAATGGCAACGCATGGGGGGGTATCATGGGCGAAACAGTATACTCTGTTATGTCCATGGTACTGCTCGTGTCTATAGGCGACGGTTACCACTTTCCATCAGGTGGGCCGTCAGCTTGTTTGCCATTCTAAGTTATATAAAAAAAAATAAGTTTACGAATATATGGCAATAAATGACTAAAAGAGGCAAAATTTTAATAATAAGGCAAAAGTTTATTTAAGCCTAACTGGTCGTGTGGTCCCGGCCATAGAATAGGCCACCCCTTCCTTTCCCGTGGGTGTCGTAAGAGGCGTCTAAGGGAGGGAGAGGGACGGGCAGCAGCGTCCCTCTTAAAACATATCTGAAGCCTAACTGCGGTTGCCAACCCGCCTGCCAAGCGTGGCAGTTACTGGAAAAACGCCCCTTATGGGGTAGACCTATGTTCAGCAGTGGACATTTAACAGCTGATATGATGATAAATATAATAAAATTGTAACTAAACGGTGTCTGTACATGGGAGGTATTTGAGACAAATTGGTAGTAGGAGATTAAAAAATTTATCCCATAGAGGGATCTCTTACATATGTATATTATGTTATATATATTCTTTATTGCACTAAAACATACAGTAACAACAATAAGTTAATAACAATGTTAGCAAAGGCGAACTTATCTCTAAAAGAGATCTCTTCCAGTCAACCTAACACAGTGGCATAGGAAGTAGCGAGTGGGCAGCAGTAGTGCAAAACAGAAGTTAAAATAAATATTTACATAAATTATAAATCATTATATATAGTAGGTAGTATATATATATATATATGAAATAATAATATTAATACATACATATGAATATAAACCTGCATAAATAAGAATATATATATATATATATATATATATATATATATATATATATATATATATATATATATATATATATATATATATATATATATATACACATACACATATATACACATATATATAAATATCAAATAAAAGAGAACACAATGATGACAGTCTTCTATTTATTTTTTTATATTTAAACAAAATTGGAAAGATAGAATGATTTTAATCTTTTTTTAAATCTTTTTATTACATGAGAGCTGGTTTTCTTACAGTCGTTCGTGACCAGCGAGGAGCAGAACGTGATGCTGACAGAAGTGTCTGACAGCAGTGGCAAGCTGAAGTCGACTGCTGTCTCCAAGCCGTACAGACAGGATCAACTGAAGCAACAGGTGGGTGACTGATACCTAGCTACCATAGCTTGGATGTGACAGAAGGTGACCTCTGACTACCCCTCTTATGGTATTTGTTATTTATTTATTTAGAACAAGCCATTTCCCGCGACATTTTTTTTCATGGGTGATAATAATAACTTTGTTCAAAAGTCTATTGCTTGGGTACCTCTGTCCCATTCGTGTTTCAACCGTAAAGCAGTTGTGTTTGCATGGCTGTGTTTCGGTTTGAAGGGTGGAATTTGGCGTGAATTTACTGGGTACAGAGGAATGACACCTGAGTCCTCAGGAATGGCAACGCATGGGTGGTATCATGGGCGAAACAGTACACTCTGTTATGTCCATGGTACTGCTCATGTCTATAGGCGACGGTTACTACTTTCCATCAGGTGGGCCGTTAGCTTGTTTGCCATTTTAAGTTGTATAAAAAAAAACCTCATCCGCGCTATCGGTATACACCGGCGGGGCACCAGTGAAGGATGATAGGTGAGGATGAAGCAGGTCAGTTAGCCCATATATTATATGTATGTATGTTTATATTAGTCTATTTATATGTGCATATTATATGAACATATCAAGTATTGCTTTATATTTCCTCTATTCAATAATACACCGCCTGCGTATTTCTCTGTTCGCCCAATGGTCGACTGGTAGAGAACACCGTCCGGTGTTAAGTCCGCCATATGTGCATAGAATTTCACTGTGCATTAAAGTGTAAATAAATAAATACATAAATAGATAGATACTCTTTATTGTTTCCTCCAAAAGATTACAATAGTAAACTTATTATAAATATAAACAATTACAAGAAATAATCACAGTGAGAAAACAATGCGCGACCTTATCGCTAAGAGCGATCTCTTGCAGGCAACCTTTGGATGGAGAGGAGTAATTATAAACAATTTGATGGGAGGCACGATGAAAAATACAGTTTTTTTTCTAAATATGGAGATGTGATAAATAACTTTTTTTTTTTAAACTCTATCAATGAATAATGTTTTTCTTTCTTTTCTCAATGTCCTCTAGCCAAAGGTTGTCTGCAAGAGATTGCTTAGCGATAAGTTCGCCTTTTGTATCATTTCTTATTACAGTTAAATGTGTTTACTATTTTATAAATGGTGCAATAAAGTGTACATAAATAAATAAATAAATAAATAAATGAGTACTGATACTGATTTATAAGGTATAGATTACGTTATCTTAATAGTTGTATGTATGTATTATAAATTTATTTTTAAACCATTTGAAGGAAGCATATATATTGGACACTATCACCGGGGGAGTTTACGTGTGGATCGGCAAACAGTCCACGGAAAGGGTGAGGCGAATTACAATTTTTTTTTAATAAAAAAAAACTTATTACCAGAGGGAGACTTTGTACAAAAGTCGTTTGCTTGGCCACCTCTGTCCCATTCGTGTTTCAACCGTGAAGCAGTTGTGTTTGCATGGCTGTGTTTCGGTTTGAAGGGTGAGATATGGCGTGAATTTACTGGGTACAGAGGAATAACACCTGAGTCCTCAGGAATGGCAACGCATGGGGGGTATCATGGGCGAAACAGTACACTCTGTTATGTCCATGGTACTGCTCATGTCTGTAGGCGACGGTTACCACTTTCCATCAGGTGGGCCGTCAGCTTGTTTGCCATTCTAAGTTGTATATAAAAAAAAAACATTTATTGGTTACTATTCATTTTGTCATGTGGTCCCGGCATAGAATGGACCACCTCTTCCATTCCTGAAGGTGTCGTAAGAGGCGACTAACGGAGGGCGAGAGATAGGCATCAGCGTCCCTCTTAAAATATCAAAGCCAAACTGCGATTGCCAATCCTCCTGCTAAGTGTGGCAACTACTGGCAAAATTTTCCTAATGATAAACTATAAGGAATGGTCCCGTTCTTTATGGCGGTCTATTGGGGTGGCTTATGTTCAACAGTGGACAGATTTTTTATGAGTGATAATGGAATGCTAACTCTGCCTGTGCTATCGGTATACGCTGGCGGGGTACCAGTGAGGGATGATAGGTTAGGATGAAAAGGCAGGTCGGTTAGCCTATCGTGATGAAATCAACAAGAATTAATCACGATGGTTTCCAGAGGGAACCACGTGGAGGTCGACCTGACAGGGTATATCGCTAGCAATGGGATTGCTAATTCCCATTACTAATAATCCCCTCTCCACCCGACGGGACACCGGTGAGGCATGATAGGTGAGGATGAAAGCAAGTCTGTTAGTCGTTTTCAGGTTATAGTTTCTAGGGGGAACCGCGTGGAGGTCGGTCTGAACGGGTATATTGATAGTAATAAAGGTATTAGACCCCATTACTAACAATCCCTTTTCCCCCTACTCCATCTAGTTGTACAATATGATCAAAATTAATAAAAAAAAATATCACTTTATAATTTCGCGCCAAAACTGACATTTTATTTTTTTTTATTACAGGAAAGAAGTGAAGCTATGTCAAAGGCTCAACAACTTTTGACGGCCAAAAGTTATCCATCTTGGGTATGTACATTAGTACTTATAATTTTTTTTATGCCACGAAGGCGACAAACAAGCCCGTCTGATTGTAAACGGTCACTAGTCTATGGACGCCTGCAACACTAGGGGTGTCACGTGCGCGTTGACGACCCTAAATAAACTTAAATATACCCCATTTATATAATAAAACTGGCTGACTCGGCAAACGTTGTTTTACCATATACATTGTTTCTAGAACTATACATGAAAATATATCGTACTACAATTATTATATTCGATTGTCATCTTGCAACCCTATTGCGGAATATAAAGATCGCGATTAAACAACAGGAGTTGATTGTAAAAGCGTAAAAATTTTAATTTGTATGTATTTTTCAATGCTAAATCATAATAGAATAAAAATAATTGTCAAAAAAATAAAAATTAGGGGTGGGTAACCCCCATCATTGAGGGTTATGAGAAATAGATGTTAGCCGATTCTCAGACCTATCCAATATGCACACAAAATTTCATAAAAATCGGTAAAGCCGTTTCGGAGGAGTTTGGTAACAAACACCGTGACACGAGAATTATGGTATATATATTAGATATAATAATAATAATATACTTTATTATTCCGACTACAATGTGGTCCATTTTATTAGTAACAGTTTTCTTACAAACTATGTTAGTAAAAAAGAAAAGCAAATTAATTAAAGCAGTTCACTCTGTTGTGAGCCAGCCGACTAGAACAGCATCTGAGTGAAATGCCCAATTATAGCCGAGTTATATTTCTCGCCTATTACTTTTAGAATGCTGTCGGTGCTTGTCCTGACCCTGTGTAGCAATGATGCAGTCCTCTTTCTCCTTATAGCGTAGTAATCATCCACGCGAGATTGAGCAAACATGCTGGAGGCGCTACAAAAGCGAGCTAGCCCCAACAGCACTCTAAAACTATTATTGTACTGGATTCGTAGGGCACTGAGTGAGGCCTGTGTACAGTTGACCCGCAGGCTGCTCGTGTAGAATCTTCTACTTCTGTAACTGAGCTATTTTCAACCGTTTAAAAACAAAAATAAGAAAGTTTATTCGACTACATTTTTTTGTATGTTACAATGTCGTTACTTTTTTTTTTTAATTAATAATTATTACAGTTTGTTCGCATACATATTAGACATGACGTTTTACTAGAGGGAGACTTTGTACGAAAGTCGATTACTTGGGTACCTCTGTTCCATTCGTGTTTCTATTGTAAAGCAGTTGTGTTTGCATGGCTCTGTTTCGGTTTGAAGGGTGGGATATGGCGTGAATTTAAAGCGTACAGAGGAATAAAACCTGAGTCCTCAGGAATGGCAACGCATGGGGGATATCGTGGGCGAAACAGTATACTCTGTTATGTCCATGGTACTGCTCATGTCTATAGGCGACGGTTACCACTTTCCATCAGGTGGGCCGTCGGCTTGTTTGCCATTCTAAGTTGTATAAAAAAAAATAGTAGGTTCTTCTTTTTGATATTACATATATATGTATATATATATATATATATATATATATATATATATATATATATATATATATATATATATATATATATATATATATATATATATATATTGTAACAACAATATATAGATATTACTATATATTATCCGCCTTTAATACATTCCTTCCAGGATGACATTATTAAGCATATCTATGATTACTTTATAGGTACAAGTGAAGCGTATACCTCAAGGCACAGAGCCAGCCATTTTCAAGCAGTACTTCACAACATGGCGGGACGTGAACATGTCTCACACTAGGGTGATCTAAATTGCATAGTGAGTATACAACATTTAAACCGTGTGGTCCCGGCCATAGAATAGGCCACCCCTTCCTTTCCCGTGGGTGTCGTAAGAGGGGATTAAGGGAGGGCGAAGGAAAAGCAGCAACGTCTCACTTAAAACATCTCTAAGGCATGACTACGGTTGCCAATCCGCCTGCCAAGCGTGGCAACTACTGGCAAAACCCTCAAAGGCTGATGTACATTATTTTAATAAATGATTTCACAGCTGCCCGCCTGTTTCAGTCGCCAAGATGATGTTCACTACCTAACGCTGTAATCTTGAAGTTTAGAAATAAATGCAAAAGAATTTTTCAAAACCGTCTAACAGTACTAGTGTTTAGCGTATTTAAACAAACATACACTTCCATATTTTTTTTGAATGGGTAACAATGTAATGGCAACCCCACCCACGCTCCCATTATAACAATAATATTTTGTATTATTGTATTTTAATTGTATTTCTTTTTTTCTTTACAGATACCCAATGGTACAATAAAGGAAAATTCTAAAAATAATAATAAACAAAAAAAAAAACTAAAATATTTGAATAAAGAACTACAATTGACTATAAATTCACATTAATTAAAAATATTTATTAAGGTTCCTTCAGGGTCGGCGACACGCACGTGACACCCCTAGTGTTGCAGGCGTCCACAGGCTACAGTGACCGTTTACAATCAGACGGGCTGTAAGCTTGTTTGCCACCGCTGTGGTATAAAAAAAAAAAACTAATTATTTTTAAAATATTCGAGAATTTTATAGTGTGAAATAATTTAGTTTAATTTGCAGTAAGTTTGTTTTAATTACTTTTTTAATTAAATGTTTAATTTGCAGTAATTTAGTTTTAATTACTTTTTTAATTAATGTTATAATAAATTGCCTGCTGCTATATGTATATTTACTTTAAAAAAATGTGTTTTTTTTATATTGTTTACTATTATTTAAATATATTTCATTGTAATTTAATTTTTATTAAATTCATATTTTATTTATAGCTGTTTTTCATTATATGATTATGGACTAATAGAAAATATGTCTTGCTAAATAGAAACACTTGTCTAAATAAACAAGTGGTGAACTTTGAAACTGTTAATAAATAATATAATAAAAGTTTTTACAAATAAAACACGATGTTTTATTTTTCATATACTTCGTACTGGATTTTTAAGTGCTACTTTCTAACCTGAATAAGGGATTCAGGGGGAGAAGGGATTATTAGTAATGCGAACTACAAATTTACCAGAGGGGGAGACTTTGTACAAAAGTCGTTTGCTATCGTTAAGCAGTTGTGTTTGCATGGCTGTGTTTCGGTTTGAAGGGTGGGATATGGCAGTGAATTTACAGGGTACAGAGACGTAACACTGAACCCTCAGGAATGGCAACGCATGGGAGGTATCATGGGCGAAACAATATACTCTGTTATGTCCATGGTACTGCTCATGTCTATAGGCGACGGTTACCACTTTCCATCAGGTGGGCCGTCAGCTCGTGTGTTCAGCTGGAAGCCATCATGATTAATTCTTATATAATTCACCACGATGGGCCAACTGACCTGTTTTCATCCTCACCTATCATCTCTCACTGGTGCCCCGCCAGCGTATACTGATAGCGCGTAGCTTGGCGGGGTTACTATTTCATTATCATCCATTTAAAAAATACATCCCTCATGCGTTGCTATAGGTATTTATAATAAGCTCGCGCCGCCGTGGCTCGCCCATTCGTGGGCATTCGCGATTATGACGTACAGACGTCAGAATCTAAACTAAAGACAGCTGTGTCCATTGTATGTGACTCACCTGTAGTACGTAATTATATTTATTTATAATAACACACCAATATAACAGAACTTGTTGAAGTATTTTCAATAAGTATAGAATAATACAAAAAGCGGTCTTATTGCTAAGCAGATACAGATAAATATATATTTTATATAACTTAGAATGGCAAACAAGCTGACGGCCCACCTGATGGAAAGTGGTAACCGTCGCCTATAGACATGAGCAGTAACATGGACATAACAGAGTATACTGTAACGCCCATGATACCCCTCATGCGTTGCCATTCCTGAGGACTCAGATGTTATTCCTCTGTACCTTGTAAATTCACGCCATATCCCACCCTTCAAACCGAAACACAGCCATGCAAACACAACTGCTTCACGGTAGAAACACGAATGGGACAGAGGTGCCCAAGCAATCGACTTTTGTACAAAGTCTCCCTCTGATAACAATATCTATAGCAAAAATTATAATTAATTGTAGCATTACAATAAGTCCATGATACCATATACTCGTATCCAAGTTGAATAGCTCAGTCAAAACAAAAAGTTAAATGTAAAATAAACTTTAGAAGAATTAAGTTTGGCTACAGCTTTCGCTTTACATATTCTTGTAAAAACAAACAACTGAAGCAAAATAAAAATTTCATGGAGATAAGGTTTACTCTTTACAGTATGTTAATTGATTCAGTTGATTTTTTTTTAATGGATGATAATGGAATAGTAACGGAGGGAAGGGATTAGCAATGGAGTTTGACAGCCCCATTGCTAGCAATATGCCTTATAAAGTCGACCTCCACTTGATTCCCCCTGGAAACTATCGTGAACAATTCTTGTTGAATTCGTCACGATGGGCTAACTGACATGCTTCATCCTCACCTATCATCCTTCACTGGTGCCCCGCCGGTGTATACCGATAGCGCGGGCGGGGTTACCATTCCATTATCACCCATTAAAAAAAATGGAATGGTATCTATATACGTTGGCGAGGTACCAGTGAGGAATGATAGGTGAGAATTAAAAGGCAGGTCAGTTAGCCCATCCTGATGATCAATTCTGGAATTCAGCACGATAGTTTCCAAGGAGGACCAGGTCGAGGTCGACAGGGTATAATGCTAGCATTGGGACTGCTAGACCGCATTACTAACAATCCCTTTCCTCCCGCCAAATGAACTCGGGCAGCTGTCGGGTTTTTGCAATGATAGGCATGGCCACTGCGTGGTGATGATACTCAGAAAAGTAAGTTAGATTACTTATTTATTTTTATTTATTTAACTCCTTATTGCAATATAAATAAAAATATACAATGACAAGTGAAGAATTCAAGTGAAATACAGTAACATAAATACAGATTAAAATGTAATATTTGGTTTTTTTTTTTTTGTAAAATCCTTACATTAACCAAATCATGTTGGTAAATTCTAAATAACATATTTTGTAAAACTAAAATAATATAAGTCAGATTTGTAAAGAAAGTCTTACATGTAAAGTGTAGCATCAACAAGGACGTACGTGATATTATAATAGCAAAACACAAAAAACTAGACATATATATATACTGTATAATATATTCATATATATTATAACTTTATATTAGATTGAATGAAGTCTTAGGAAAATTTTTAATTACGGTCGGTATCTCCCCATCATTATTACTCCATTAGTTCATCACATAAGCTTTTACTCATATTTTAAGAGGGTCGCTGCTGCCCAACTTTGTACCATGAAATTCTCTCAGTCACCTCTTACGACACCCACGGGATTAGATTAAAATGTGCTCGGCTGAAATGTGGACACGTCGAGAGTTACTTTCACAACGGCAGCAGTCGACGAGTGCCTCCGACTGTCCGACTGTTAATCACAGTCGTGAACAATATTGTAAACAATGAATCCTCAATCGAGCGCATCGTTCTAAACCAACTGTTCGAACCAATTGACAAGTAAACATTATATTTTTCACTAGACAAATAAATACATCTGTTTACGTAAATGCGAGGTATTCGTAAACAACAGATTTCATATAAATATGGGCAGAAAGAGCAATATTCGTTAGTGATCCCAAAAAATGTCCCTCAAGCTGATCGTGTTGGCCGCTCTGGTGAGTTCACTTTAATTATATTAATACTAAACTAACTTCTTAAATTAAATTCTAAACTGAGCTTCTAACCACTAACTTCATATTTTTAGTAATTCTGAATCGTTCCATAAGATTATTGTTGACCCCATATTCATATAGTGGTGAGTTAAACCATTTTTTTAAAATGATTTCCAAAGAAATGGGTCGTTAATACGGAGCTGGTAGCACCACTATATAATAGGCCAGATTGTAAACAACACAGTTACTAATCTTCTTCTCCTCCCCTCTCCCACACCCTTTCTTGGGGAGAGAAAGGATTGTTAGTAATGGGGATTAGTAACGCCATTGCTAGCAATATACCCTATCAGGTCGCCCTCAACGCGGTTTCCACTGGAAACCATCGCGATTAATTGTAGTGGAATTCGTCACGATGGGCTAGCTGACCTGCTTTTATCCTCACCTATCATCCCTCACTGGTGTCTAGCCAGCATATATCGATAACGTAAGCGAGGTTACCATTCCATTATCACCCATTAAAAAAACCCTTTCCCTAGAAACAATTGGATTAAGAACAGGAAGGTGATGACCGTTTTTCTTTGTACAGGTGGCAGTCGTTACCCCATCCCCAACTCCCCTGGTGGGTGCAGGATTAGGAGGAGGACTTAATGCTAACGTAGCAGTTAAGCCGTGGTGGTCCGGATGGTGCCGACACGATGGAAATGCAAGAGTGGGTTTCAAATCCAGCCAGAAGTCTAGCAACGGCGGTTTCCTTAATGACGACTACAAATACCAAAAGGTAAGATTCATAGAAGTTAAGATATAGAGGGAGAAGTACTTCGTGCTTGTCATCGAACGGTTGTGCTTGCTTTGATGTATTTCAATATGAAGGATGGGATATTGCAGTGAAATTATAGGGTACGGAGCCATAACACCATAGTTCTCAGGAATGGCAACGCATAAACGGTGCCATGTGCTTCATAATGTAATCTGTAATATCCAAAGTGTTTTTTATGTTCATATTTGACGGTTACCATTTACTATCAAGTGGACGGTCAGTTTGTTTTCTATATCAAGCTGTATAAAAAAAAAAACTATTATTTTTTATTTTTATAGTTACATGAAATTGTCAATAGACAAAAAATCTACAACACCTCCTACTCTCGTTCCCGTTCTTAATTCGGTTATATATTTTAATATGTTTATTACCTTATAACTGTCGGTTGTAAATCGATTTGGAAAATTCCTTTTTTTTCCTTGAAGCATATAGCAGATTGGTACTATGGAAATTTTATCATATTCGGTCCAATAATTTAGTTTTGAAATCAAAACTATTTCTTTTTTAGGAACACAACCTTAGTATTGTTAATACAGGAAACTCGAGATTTATTTGTCATCTTTTAACCCATGTTTAATAATATACGAAAAGTGCTGAGATTAAAAAAAAAATAATGTAGTTACATGTGCCGTGTGGTCCCGGCGTAGAATAGGCCACCCCTTCCTTTCCCGTAGATGTCGTAACAGGCGACTAAAGGAAGACGAGGAATGGGCAGTAGCGTCCCTCTTAAAACATTCCTAAAAGCCTAACTGCGGTAGCCAAGCGTGGCAACTGCTGGCAAAACTCCCCTTATGTGGAAGGATTATATTCAGCAGTGAAAAGTTAATGGCTGAAATAATAATATGTGAAAAGTTTGTGTGAATGATTGATAAATGGCGGAGAAGTATTTGGAATTTTTTTGTCAAAAGTTACAATATTTTTAATTTTTATTTGCTTTCAGGGCGACAACATCCTTCAACCTTTCGGTAAGACACAGTTTAAAATTTTATATTATTCCATTTAGCTTTTTTGGGCATTAATATATTAATATTTCAATATTACTTGTAGAATATAAAGGGAATCAAATTCTGTTGCTATTATCACAGAGTCACTCTGTAAATGGACTTAGTAAAACATCGATAGACTCAATCAATTAACCTTTTTTTATTTGTCTATTGGATATCATCTGATTGACTCTGAAGAATCTTTAATGCACCCTGTTTGAAGGAACAAATATAATAAATTTAATTAATAGCTAATAAATAATCAATTAATAAGACAATTGCATCGATATATACAAAAATATACGTACAGAGTAAAATTAAAATTGATGTTTTCCCAAAAAACAAACATGGGGCTAAAAATAACAAAAGATTTAGCAGACCATTTTCACGTCGCGTCAAATTAGTAGAACTCAAAAGATTTTGTCACTATTGGACCCAAGCTAGTTTGAGGAAAAATGTTCCGTTTCCCTGGTAGAACGTTCCTTAAAAAAAAAGGATGGTAATGATTTCTATTTCACTTTGCATACAGAATGATTCTGACCACGTGAATAATGACAATTTACAATTGATTAATTTCTTTTTGTTTATTAATTTCCAGGTTACTTGGCTAGGGGAGTGACCAATAATGCCGGCGATGCAAGCTCCATTTTGTCTGGCATCTCTAGTCTGAGTAAGCATTCGTGTTTCTACCGTGAAGCAGTTGTGTTTCCATGTCTGTGTTTCAGTTTGATGGGTGGGATATGGCAGTGAATTTACAGGGTACAGAGGACCTACACCTCAGTCCTCAGGAATAGCAACACATGGGGGTATTATGGACGAAGCAGTATACTCTATTATGTCCATGCTACTGCTCCTGTTTATAGGCGATGGTTACCACTTTCCATCAGCTTGTTTGCCATTCTAAGTTGCATAAAAAATGCAACTTTTAAAATGTCTCATAGTGTTTGAACACTATTATTTAAGACTGCTTTGAAGAATAGAATATAAACAACACAAATTTATTGGAAAATATTCATAAATAAAGACTATTTAAATGTGAATGTATGAATGAACTTCAAATTTTAGTGTTTTTATTAACTTGAACTGTTTTTAATATTTAAAATTACTTTATTTTTCAGAATACCCCGGTAGCTTCGATGACTCCATCGACGTCATGCTCAGGAGTAAGTTATGTTATGTTTGTTCATTTAATATTGATATTTTTTTTATTTTAATTTAATGAACCTATTCCAAAATAATTAAACTTATATATTTAATAAATTATATTTGCTTTATATTTATATAATTAAAATTTCAGATAATTCACTAGTGATGTGAAAAATCGATAACAATTGGTTTGATAAAAAGAAATGTTTTAACTTTTCCATTCCCTTATACATACATTCCATTCCATTATACAAATGACAGATGAATCTGTCGGTAAATACGTTTTCACTATGAGATAGAACAAGACAGCCATAGCGTCTTATTCTTTATCACGCGTGTGGTGACGAAAACATATCTAACGGAAGATTAGATTCCCATTTGACTTGACAGTAGCGTTTGTTACAATTTTTTTTTCTTTTCTAGTGGCTCTTGCGGCAAGGGGCATCATTAATGTTCAAATTCCTGGCCGTGAGTATATCTTTTTTTTTTAGAAATAGAAAATTGGTAATATTATCTGGAAAAGACTATTCTTTTTCTTGGAAAAAAGAAATAAAAGTGGGAAAAGACAGAAAGAATATTATGAGCAAATTCAACTTGTCCTCGATTTGAATATTGAACTGATTTCCAAAAATGCAACAATTTTAAATCTGCTTCCTTCTGAGTATTATTACCACAGTATAATATTAATGTTACGCGAATCTTTGGCACTTCAAATTTTATATATATTTTTTTACATTTCTTCAAAAGAACTCTATTTCTTGGGGAAATCAATCAATCGACTCGTTTATTTTACTTGTTTTTAATACTTATGATAATGACTTTTAATCGACGATAATGATGATCCTACCTGCGCTATCGGTATACACTGGCGGGGCACCAGTGAGGGATAATGGGTGAAGATGAAAAAGCAGGTCCAGTTGGCCATGGTGATGAATTAAACAATAAATAAGTCACGATGGTTTCCAGGGGGAACTGCGTGAAGTTTGACCTGATAGGGTATATTGAGAGCAATGGGGACTAACCTCCCCATCACTGACAATCCCTCCCTCCCACTTATGATAATGACTATGCAATACTAATTTGTATTTTTTTTTTTAATTTCAGTTGGATCAATATTTGGCAACAGTGAGTATATATTTCCAATTTTTTATCTAACTACTAGGCCAATAAGGATATCGTTTGTTTTTGTCATAATAACTGAAAAATCTATAATTATATATAATCATATTAAATTTAAAAAAATAATTGTTCCCGGCGATATATTTAATTTATTTTTCGTCTTCTTTTTACAGGCGCCATGGCTATTGCAAGGATTGTCAACTGTATCGTCGATAAGAGAACAGGTAAACATATTTTATATGCACCTATCATCATCATCATCATCATCATCATCCTGTTAGCCGCTAACCTGTCCACTGCCCACTGGAGGACATAGACTGCCGTAAGGAATAGTCTCAAGCCATTTGCATCCACTGACTCCTATTCTAAACGAAGCATCTAAAATGAAAGTTTGTCAAGTTCTCTCAAGCCCTTTCAATATATTTATATATAGGATAACCGATATATAATATATTCGTTACTTGGCTCATATATAGATATTATAATTCCAACATATAGATATTACTATATCTAATATTACGCATCCCTACTCCGTACTCCGTATTTTCACTGCCATATCTGACCTTTCAAATTAAAACAAAATCGTACAAGCTGCAAACAGCCGCTTCACAGCAGAAACACAGATGGGACAAAGAAAATTCGTATACACTCTCACTCTAATAACTTAATAACATACGTAAAGTTTTATAATAAGTTACTTACAGTTTTTTTATCTTTTTTCCTGTTTCACGCCTCGCAGATCTGACTCCAGCTGTTTGCAATAACAATTACGGATCAAAATGGGGCTGGCCCAAATACACCGGCGGCTACAACAACGCCGAAGACGTGCTCAAGTTCTACGACCTTTTGAAAGTCCGCCCTCAAATTGACGATCTCGTCGGAAAGTATACGAATGGAAGAGGTGTCGGCTCTCTTACAGGTGAGTTTGCCTCATCTCCATCTTGTTATACTTGTGAGTGTGAGAATCGATCTATTAAAGGCCAAGATCTAATAATACTTGCGGCTGAGTGCGAATGACAAAATTGAGGCTGACATTCAGACGTTTTAATTTAAATTAATCTAAATTTTATTCAATTAAATTAAAATTTATTCAACTTAAACTGAAACTAAATTTAAATTAAATTAAAATAAATTTATATTTATAGATAAATTTATATATAATAATTCGTTAGAATACACCATTTAATATAAACATGATAGTATATGCACACCAGTTAAAGATGTACACAGCATTAACTGTACATAATATAACATATAAGAATCATTATAATTACAAACAATTTAATAAAGTAAATTCTTTGTAATTACTTCTAAATTATTAATTTGTAATGATTTGTAATAATTACAAATAATTTAATAAAGTGAATTATTTGTAATTATTACAAAATTGTTACAAAGAAGAGATTGAAGATATTTACACTGTGTTATTGCTTTTAATGTGAGTTAATGGTTTATACTGGAAGATATGGTGTGAATCATGGAAAATATCTATATAATAATATTAAATCCCTTCTGTTTTAGGCACCAACAAAATTATTGTGGAGTTAGTTAACGAATTGGCCCGACTATTCGAAAGTAAGTACTTGACATTTTATATTAGTATTCTCTCTTATATTTAATTAAAGATATTTTTAGCATTTGTTTAGAAATTTGTTTATTTATTTTTTAAACGCTTTTATACATTCACTTTTAATATAAATATTAGAAATTGTAACAAAATTGTACACAGGCGGACTTATCCCTTAAAGGGATTTGTTCCAGTCATAATTGGTAATTGAATAATATAATTGTATGTTAATCTATACTAATTGTTTCAGATAACGACAACAAATGGAGCCGCGACGACTTGGTCACAGCATACGACAAGGGTGAGCGGTGTTCCTCCACTACAATTCTTAATTTCTTACTAATGTTACGAAAATTTATTTATTTATAATTTTGCACATATTACACAAAATAACTGTAATCAAATAACCAACTAGGGAACTTCTGGGATTTCTAACTCAATATTATCTTGTTCAAAGTGACTTATATTTCTTTTTTCCATTTCTTTCCAGTTTCTAGCATGATGGGTCTGCTTGGTAACAGTTATAATGATGGACGTGAGTATTGGAATTTTAATTTATTACTTCTTACCTCTCATATTACAATTATTATAATAATAGTCAATAGACGGATTTATATAAGAGCATAATAGAAGGAAAAATAGAGAGTGAAAGAGGAAAGGGAAGACCAAAGAATAACTACATGGGACAGATAAAGGAAACACTAGGTGTCGTGTCGTGTAGGGAGGTCAAAGATATGGGCTGAAATGGAGCTGGTTGGAGTTAATGTTAAATATTTATTACATAAGTAAACCTTGGTAAAGAAAAAAAAGACCAATTTGTAAATGCTGTGCCACTGCCGGATATAGGTCTCTCCCATGAAAGAGAGTTTTGCCAATAATTTCCACGTTTGGCAAACAAGTTGGCAACCACAGTTAGGCTTTAGTGATGTTTCAAGTCGGACGCTGCTGCCCGCCCTTTACCATTGAGTTACTTTAGTCGCCTCTTACGACACCCACTGGAAAGGAAGGAGTGGCCCATTCTATGCCGGAACCACATTAATAACACTAAATAGGTTTCTTCGATTTTAATCATTCGAATTACTAATCACATCATTCTTTTTGCAGTTGGCGATGATCTTGTGGATTGTAAGTAGTTTAATTGTTTATTTTTAATTAATTAAAACAGTACAGCGTCATTTATGAGAGAAGTAAATTTTCAAACATATTTAAAAAAGAAAATAACAAGTCGTTTGTAAGCCTACATGAATTACATACGTTTACAAACAAGTGAAATATATTTTGGATTGTATACACCTATATATGTAAATAATAATAATACATACATACATTTACCAGAGAGAGCCTTTGTACAAAAGTCCAAGCAAACGCTTGGGCATCTCTGTAACATTCGTGTTTTAACCGTGAAGCAGTTGTGTTTGCATGGTTGTGTTTCGATTTGAAGGGTGAGATATGGCAGTGAATTTACAGGCTACAGAGAAATAACACTTGAGTCCTCAGGAATGGCAACACATGGAAGGTATCATGGGCGAAATAGTATAATCTGTTATGTCCATGGTACTGCTCATATCTATAGGTGACAGTTACCATTTTCCATCAAGTGGACCACCAGCTTATTTGTCATTCTAAGTTGCATAAAAAAAGCATATACAATAACATTCTATTTTCTCTTTCAGCCATGATCGATTATTGTAAAGACGGTTTCAAGTCCCGAGGATACTCTGGTGAGTTTAATGAGTATTCTGTCATATATTTTGCAAAGCAAATATATATCCACCATGGTCGTGGTCTAAATATCTAAACAAACATCTATATTATATAAAAAATAAAAAGAAAGTCTAACATTATCACCAGTGAACATCCAACAGTCTGAACTGATGAATGCATCACCACAGTATATTCTGTGATATCCATGGAGCTGTTCATAGTATCATCACCATCATATCTTAACTGTCAACTAATAAATATAGACCTCCCCCGTAAAGAAAGGTTTTGCCAGTAGTTACTACGCTTGGCAACCGCAGTTAGGCTTTAGTAAGGTTTGAAGAGGAACGCTGCTTCTCGTCTCTCGACTATTACATTCCCTTAGTTGCCTCTTATGACAGCCGCAGGAAACGAAGGAGTGGCCCATTCTTTGCGGGAGCCACACGACTGTTCATGTAGGTGACAGTTAGAAATCTCCACCAGGTGAACCTGTCAGCTATTCCATTATTCATTAAAAAAAAACTCTCTTTCTTCACAAAGTCATTCAAAATTTGATACCCGAAATTAAACACGCATTTCTATCGCTGTCAACACAAATATCTAAATAGTTACAGCAAATGTTAATACAATTTTCTTTTCTTTTTCCAGATTTGGATTCTTTGGGATCGAATATAAGGAAGAGAATATCCGGATGCGGACGCTCCGACTTCAATGGCGCTCTGAGATTGGCATCTGACGCCAACAATAATATCAGTTCCATCGGCGACTCTCGCAATAATTTAGGCATTGACGACGTTAATTATGGAGTTGACAGCGGTTTAGATAGAACGAGCAGTGCCAGTAGTAATGCAGCAAGAGTCGGCGATAGTTCCGACTATAATAGCAGTTCCAAGAGAAGTTCCAGCCACAGTAGCAGTTCCAAGAAAAGTTCCGAGTCTAGTTCCAGCTCAAGTAGCAGTTCCGACGATAGTGCCAGCTCTGATAACAGTTTCGACGCCAGCAGCGCTAGAAATGCAGGGTTTAATAACGAATTCGGAGGAATCGGCGTCTCTCGCAATAATTTAGGTATTGACGACGTTAATGATGGAATTGACAGCGGTTTAGATAGAACGAGCAGTGTCAGTAGTAACGCAGCAAGAGTCGGCGATAGTTCCGACTATGGTAGCAGTTCCAAGAGAAGTTCCAGCCACAGTAGCAGTTCCAAGAAAAGTTCCGAGTCTAGTTCCAGCTCAAGTAGCAGTTCCGACGATAGTGCCAGCTCTGATAACAGTTTTGACGCCAGCAGCGCTAGAAATGCAGAGCTTAATAATGAAATCGGAAGTTCCAACAACGGTTTGAATGTAGAAGAGTGTTAATGATGCCGACTTACTGATTACAGCTCATCATGTAACTAATATTGAAATGTCTTTCATGCAATGATTATTGTGATTTAATTAATTTAATGAAATTAATAATTTTATATCAAAATTCTTGTGATTAATGATTAATTGTTTCGGCTTCTTTTTCAAAATTCCTTTAATAAATGTTGATTGTACTTAATCTTGTGTCTTTGTTTTACTTACCCGCAGTTTTCTTATAATTTTAAGAACTGTCTAGTTTTAATTGTTTTTTTTTTTTTTTTTTTTTTTTTCTGAATGTGTTTGCTGTTGGCCGTGTGTGGCCTTTACAGCTTCACCGGACGCGAATGCAGGGGCGAGTGCTGATGGCACTCCAAGCCCGCGAGAGGGGAGCGACAGAGGTGTCGACTCTTTCTTATGGACTGCGGTGTGTGTGTGCGCCTAAGGGCGCCAGAGTGGCTCGGCCTCGGCTTAGGCCACCGCACTTCGACCCCCGTCGAGGGACGGCGAAGGGTCGGTACGTCTGGGTGGGTGAGATTGCGACGCGGTTGTTATGCGCTCGGGCGCAAACCTGATCGCGCGCGGACCGTGTGTCGCGAGGGTTCTTCGCCCCCGCCGGCGGGGGCGGTGTGTGCGATGTGTGGGTGTGTTTGTAGGGGCTCTTGTCGAGGGTTCCGCGGTAGGTAGGGAGGGAGACGCGTTTGCCGTCGTAGTTGGATCATCGGGGTCCAAGAGTGCGTGCCTCGGGCGACGACGTTTTGGAGCGACGTTCTCTATGGGGGGTTTGTATTTGACCGCTCTTACTATGAGCGGATTTGAATGGGACTCGGCTGAGGCAAAGTAGCGTCGAGACGCTTGCTTCATAAATTGCCTTATAGTGGGTATTTTGAGGTCGCGGTGTAGATCCACGTTGCGCACGTACCACGGGGCGCCCGTGGCCCGTCGCAGAAATTTATTTTGCACCACCTGAAGGGGGTGAAGTAATGAAGGAAGGGCGTGGGCGAAGACGACACTAGCGTACGTCATCACCGGTCTTATACATGCTTTATAGAGCGTCAGCTTTGCGTTAAGCGACAATTGGCTGCGCTTGTTAATAAAGGGATGGAGGCGTCCCAGTATAAAATTGGCCAGGCCTCGGACGCGCTTAAGATGAGATGCGAAACTCAACTTGGAATCTAGTGTCACGCCTAGGTATTTGGCTTCGTTCGTCCAGGGGACGGGCGTGCCAAACAGCTGAATAGAGGCGGGAAGGGATGGTTTTCTTTTGGCCGTGAAAAGCACGGCGGCGCTTTTTCTGGGTTGACTTCGATGCGCCATTTTCTGAACCAGTAGGCCAGCTCGTCCACCGCCCGTTGAAGCCTGTTGGCTGCACAGGCGGCCGACGTGCTGTCCACATATAGGGCTGTATCATCAGCAAAGAGGGCGATTTGCACTCGGGGCTGACGCGGGATGTCGTTGGTGTACAACGAGAAGAGGGTGGGGGAGAGGACAGCGCCTTGAGGGACGCCGGCTCTAATCGGTCGTGCGCTGGAACGCACTCCATTGACGCGATAGCGATATGACCTATTGGACAAGAAGGCTCGTATGATGTGCACGAGCCTGTCTGGCACTCCCATCTTGTGCAGTTTGAAAATCAAGCCGCTGTGCCAGACTTTGTCAAAGGCCTTCGCTACGTCGAGAAACAGGGCACATGTGACCCCGTTGGATTTCAGGTGTCGGGCGTTGAGGACGTGTTCTACTACACGATGTACTTGATGAACAGCTGAGTGCTTGGCTCTAAAGCCGAACTGCTCATCGATCAGGATGCCTTTGGACTGTAGCCAGTCTTTCAGGCGTGCGAGTATTAGCTTCTCATACAGCTTCCCCAGCGAGCTGAGGAGACTGATGGGGCGAAAACTGGTGGGAAGGGACTTATCTTTCCCAGGTTTGGGAAAGCCTACGACATCGGCTTCTTTCCAAGCATCTGGAAAGATGGCATTGGTAATTGCCGCATTGAAGATCGCTACTAGAAGTAGCAGAATGGTTTCTGGCAGACTCTTAAGGAGTCTGTTAGAGATACCGTCGGCACCGGGTGCCTTTCGGTTGGGGGTTCCTTTGATGAGTGTTCGCACCTCATCCAGTGTAACGGGGGGAGTGACTCTACTGGAGGGATCGACAGGATTCGCTCCACCTCGGATTCTACCTTCTCTAGATGATCATCGGGCACCGGAAGGGTACTCGGCATGCATTGGGCCTCTAGGCTGTCTGCTAGGCATTCAGCCTTTTCTTCATCAAATAAGGCCGGACTGTTGTTTGTTCGGACTAAGGGCGGAAGGTCGGAGTAACACTGGTCTGTTTTGAGGGTTTTGGCTACTCGCCAGTACGCGGTATGGCAGGGGGTGAGTTCTTTGGTGAACTTATCCCATCTGTCTCGCCGAAGTTCCGCTATGCGACTCTTTACTTCGCGCTGTAAATCTCGCAGGCGGGTTCGGTTCTCTTCTGAGGGATAGCGGTCATACGCTCGTGTGGCTGCATTCTTAGTGCGCAGCAGAGCACTTACATCATCAGGCAGGTTCCATCTACGGTCGCCCGTATCCGGAACCTCCCTGGAGCAGTCCTTGACTGCCGACTGCAGGTGCTCTGTTAGCGCGTCAATGGCTGTAGTCGTCTCCTCGATAGATTCGACTTCGTCCGGGATGCGGTCCAGTACCGGAGAGTTAGTCGACTCGAGGACTTTCTCGAGCCGGCTCCAGTCCGTGACCGTTTTAAATTGAGGCGCCCCGTCTGCAGGTGGGCCTAGCGAGAATGTGACGGGGCGGTGGTCGGAGATGAGTTCGGCATGGACCTCCATAGAACTCAGCCTTAAGGCTACGTTCTTTAGTAGGGCCATGTCGAGGATGGAGGGCTGATGAGCAGTGTTTGCCGGATAGTGCGTGAAGTGCACTGGGGGAAGGATGTCGAAACCCATGGAGAGCGAAAGGCGTTCCAGGGTGAGACCGTTTGGGTTCGGATAAGCACAGCTCCAAAGGCTGTGCTTGCAATTTAGATCTCCGGCAATAATTACCGAATCCCCCAGGTCCATGAGAGCTTGGAGGTCGGCCCGGAGTAGCTTTTTGGAGGGAGAGAGATATGCCGATGCTATATAGATCGGTCGGTGGTCTGTCATCGCGAGGAGGCATATCGAGGCTTCCATGTTTACGAGCGGAGGCGTGTCGATCGGAATGCACTGAAGGGACCTTCGGTAATAAATTAACGTACCGCCGCCGCGACTGATGCGGTCATTGCGTACGATATTGTAGTTTGCGATTCTTGGACCGCGTGTTGAAGGCTTGAGGAAGGTCTCCTGTAGTAGGAGAACGTCCACCTGATGGACGGTGAGAAACTCACGGACTTCGTCTCTTTGCCCTTGTAGTCCGTTAGCGTTGAAAAACGCTAACTTAACGGACCGAGGTTTGCATCTTTTCGCCCTTAGATCCATAATTAATTGTTAAAATTGAGGATGGCGACTAGTACGCCGATGTGCTCGCAGACGGCTGCGAGTCTTTCTTGTGGGTCGTTGACTGACCTTAATTTGGAGGCCAGGGCCGTAATCTCGCCAGCGTCGATGGAGCTGGCGAGTTTCGCTACCAGTGCGAAGTCGGCTGCGAAGCTTGAGCCTATGTTCGTTCCAGTTTGCGGGGCGGGGCGCGGAGGAGCGGGCGATGCCACAATCTTGGCAAGCGTGGGAGCGGTTGCAGATGGCATGGTGGGTGAGGGGGTCGCCTTGACGACCGGAGGTCGCACCCAAGCATTTTTTGGCGGGGGAGGTGGTGCAGCTGAGGGCTGCGGGATAGTAGGGGGCGCGGGGCGTGCTGCGCGGGGTGCCTGAGCCTTTGTGGCTTTTGCGGAGGCCTTGTTTTGGCCGGGACGGGGAGCGCGGGGACATCCGCGGTAGTTAGCTGTGTGGCCCTGTGTGCCACAGAGTACACAGCTAGGTGGGGTCGGGGTGCCACTCACGCGAGTGCATTGCTTGGTGCCGTGGTCTCCCAGGCACTTGACGCAACGTTCGCGCGCGTAGCAGTTTCGGGCGGAGTGCCCATAATTTTGGCAGCGGTGGCACTGCCCGGGGTAGGTCCGCTTATTTGGCGGTTCTACTGATAGGCCTGAGATCAGGCAGACACTTCGGATGTTGAAGATAGATTTCCCCTCTGGGGAGAGATCTAGTACCACTAGTACCATGTCTAGTGGCGTTTTGGCCCTGCTGCGGTACATCCTGTGTACCTCGTGGACGGGGTAGTTTTGTGAGCGGATATCTGCGAGGATGTCCTGGCAGTCCAGCTCCTTAGGGACGCCGCGTATTACTACGCGCAGTCGTTTCTCCTCCTCGAGGGCATAAGTGTGGTAACCCACACTGTTTGTCCTGAGGAAGGAAGTTAACTGGCGATGATCCGCCGATGTGGGAACCACTACTCTGATTCCTAGTGAGGTTACCCTTGCATGGGTAAAGGATATGCGCTTTTCCTTCAGCGCAGCTGACACCCTGTTCCAGGCTGTCTTGTCCTGGATGATTATAGGAGGAGGAGGCCTCACTTTCCCCGCGTGATCGCGGTCGGTTTTATCGGCGTTAGCCGGAACGGGTGCGCCATCGTTGGCACGTTGGGTTTTAGGCGGGGGAAGATCGCGCGCCCGCTTCGCGCGTTTGGTGCGCTTGGCACCCACAATTTGAAATTCCTCTTCCGAGGAGGAGGCAGTGTCGGAGGAGTCGCCTGTTTCGGCGACGACGTTGGGAGCGTCTAGCTCCATTTCCGTTTCAGAGGAGGGGCGGTTGGGAGCAACCTCCTGAGGGGACATCGGCTCCGGGGTACTCACTAGGTGGTCCCGGGGGGATGGTGGGTTTGAGGACAGCTCGTCGTTGGCCTCCTGAAGGGAGGCCGCCGGCGAGGCAGGGGCGTCGTCATGTATCACATGTGCGCCCCTGCGCTCATCGAAAAATGCCTTTAAGAGGCCAGGACATTTGGCCTTTAAAAAGGCCACGAATTGTGGAATGTCATCCTGGGACAGCGACATGTTGTCCCAGGAAACACTCCTCTTATAAATTAGCAATGCACCCGACTCTTAAGTCTGGTGCCAATACCTAAAAATAATTTAAATTTATAATACGGACAATGCGCTACTATAAAAGTGGACACAAAAAATAAGCCGCTACAAGCCGCGTATATAAGGGCCTGTTGGGACCTGTCCAGGT